CAAGGATTTAAAGTAGGTAGTAAGAAGCTTGTTGTGCTTGCACGGGCTACTAGGTTCAAAACTCAACAAGCACACAATATTTTTAAAGAAAACAAGAGACACATGTTGCTGGTCACCTTCTTAGCATGCCATGTATGGATGCTTAAGGAGAATGTGGCACATGATGCCTTCCTTGACATACCACGTGACAGATCTACATCAGCAAGTCAGTGTCATGTGGCACTGCCACATTAGCATGTTAAAGTGATATGGCATTGTCACGTCAACATTTCTAGTTCACCTTTCTTGTCAAGCCACATGTCACCCTTTGGACATGCCATGTGGCATGTCATGGATGGATGTTGAAGGAAAGTGTGACATGTGGTGCCCTCCCTGACATACCACAAGGCATATCTACATCAGCATGTCAGTGCCACATGACACTGCCACATCAGCATTTCAAACTGATATGGTATTGCCACATCAGAATTTGTAGTCCATTTCATGTGCCATGTAGCAAGTAGTGCCATGTCAACAATAACATCAACTCTATGAAGGGTAATTTTGAAAGAAAAATGTTAAAAAGATTAAATTGAAGCAATTTTTAAAATTAAAGGATTAAATTGTTACAATTGCCTAAATGAAAAAAATTAATGAGTACAGAGATTGCTGAAGTATTTTGACTTCTCACATCATATGGCATCAATGAGTAAGTGTAGCCATCAATACATGAATTTAGGCTTGAAAGAAATAAACTTAAAATGTAAAATTTGCTTGAAGAAAAATCCTATACACAGTTTTCTTTTGCTCTTTGTGAATTCCACAAGCTACATTAAAGAGAAGAAATAAGCTTTTTTTTTTTTAATTGGAAGCGGAGGGATTCGGATTTTACTTTAGATAGAGAGATCATGTACCAACTAATGAACTAAATGCTTAGGTGCAAAAGAAAGAATAAGTTGCATTTGAGGTAGTGAAATCTAACACATTGGCAAATCATCAACATGAGACTATCAATGACTGAAGCAAAATTCATTAACCTGTTATTGGTGGAAGCAGAGAGGAACTTCATGCAAACTGGGGCTCCAACTCTAGCAAGAGATAGTATAGCAGTCGGGATTCCCTACAGATTGGATCAGACGATAGTGCAAAATTTTTGGTGTTTTACTTGTTTTTTTATTTGCCATGTCTTGAAATGATCGAGCTCACAATACACATGGATATAGTTGAAGTATATACTGAGATAGAGTGGGATTGGAATGAACCTATAGATATTGTATTTGGTATCAGAACGCCCCAACACTTCTCGGATTATGTTAATACCAGTAGCAGCAAAGAAGAATATCATGGTTCAAGGCAGAAAAACGGCTTTCAATTCCAAGAAGGGAAATACCATTATGCAAAAAACCATATGGTGCAGGCTAAGTACTCCCAAGTTTAACCAGTGGATTAAATGATAACAAGAGAGATACTCTGATATGGGAGCCCGATAACATAGGGGACCTTTCAGTAAAAAAGGCAATGGGAGCACGAGGTGGACAGCTGCTTCCAAGTGGAAATAAAATCTGATTTTCTTGGCTTTGGAAAATGTTACTTCCTTTTAAAACTCGATGCTTCCTATGGTTTGTTGCCCTGGCGAGTATCCCTATCAAAAGCTTCGTTAAGGGTAAAGGCATTTCCTTTGATCATAAGACATCCATGTGTGCTTGGTGTGGACTTGATGTGGGAAATTTTGCTCGGTTGCTATTTCATTGTCGGTTTTCATGGGAGATATGGTGTTACATTTTCGATTGGTGGGGCTTTTCTTGGGTGATGCTGACATCCATCTTCTTTATGTTTAAATTCTATGAAAACCTTATGCTGAGCAACTTTACAGAAAGAAATATGTCAATGGTAGGAGCCTCTATGTGGTCCATAAGGGAAACAATGGCCTTAGACTTACCAGGCATCTGCACAAAAAAGTTGTAAACTTTCCTGTATGGTGCAAAACATTCTAAAGAATAAGATATAAGATCAGAGGCTCCAGTGTCGACAATTCAAGTTCTGTTATCAATCATGAGCACATTTGAAGACTTGGAATTAACAAAATTGCCACAAATAGCAGACAATGAGATAGGTATAGTAACGGTACTAGTTATGACTGAATTCACTGCTGGAATTTTGGGTTGGGAAGCTGTCTGGGCAATGTCATCAACACTGTTCTATGTATCCTTATTGATAAGAGCTAGCAACTTGTGAATCTAATGCTTTGTAAGGGACAAAGATGACATGGAATCGGTGATGTTTTCCTCCTGTTGGTCTGAACCGGATGCAACAATCACACCATTGACTGAAGAAACCATTTTCTTAGTATGCCCCTTGTTTTTGGTGAACTTGAAATCAGGGGGAAATCTTATGATTCGGAAACATCCTTCCCTGATGTGTCTTGTTTTCCACAGTGTGAACATTGCAACTCATTTTTGTTTTTCTTCTTTACATTACTTATTACCGACGTTAGAACGTAATTCCACAAGAGGTTGTGACTGAACATGTAAAGGTCTCTATGATTCTTTTCTAAAAACCAAATTATAGGCTTCATCTAAGGTTGGGAAGGGCTTGAGCATGATAATATATGTTCTAATGGCAGATTAAGTGTCATTCAAACCACTCAAAAAACGAAAAACATTTTGTCTTTCTGGCCTTGGTCTACAAACCTTTGAAAAAATTTCTTGTTACAACTACGGCATTCACAGTAAGGGAGTGGCCTATAGTTTCTTAGTTATTCCCACAAACAGTTTAAATCAGAAAAATAAGCATCAATTGACCTATTCCCTTGAGCGAGGTTGTGAAGGGAGAACTGCATATTGTAAATCTTGGTATCACCTGGTTGTGAGAAACGGGTTTTTAGAGTATGCTACATTTGGGATTCCGAATCCATGTAGAAAACGGTTGTTGCAATGGGCGGTGTGATGTGATGGACTCTAGTAGCCAAGCAATTATCAGGCGGTTGCAACGTTTCCAAGGAGCACAAGAGCATCTGAAGATTTTGGCTCTTGAATCAAGCCATCGAGAAACCCAATCTTGTTCCTGACGGACAAGGCGAGAAGGAAGGAGCGGCTCCATGATTTGTAGTTGGTTGAGGAGAGTTTTGGGGTGATTGCAACAGACCCATGGTTGTTTGTGTGATTCGGGTAATAGGGTGAGATTGGTCTTCCAAGGGACTAGGTCTTCCCACCGTGGTGGTTGTCGTGATTTTTTCAGCCATGGCTGCTCGAAATTTCTGGTGTGAAGAAGTGATGGGTGGGTTCATCGTTGATGAAATAAGAGAGTGATTGAAATGGCAAGGCAAAAAACAGAACCTTTGATGGATTCATGGCTCAATTGCAATTGGCGGCCCTGAATCATCGCTACTATGATACAATGTAAACTTGGCGTCTTAAACCCAACAACATTTCAAAGAAAGATGAAAGAGAGATAGTGGTGAAGGACAAAGAGGCTAGGAAAAATGATTTGGCTGCATTCCATTCTTACAAACCTTTTTCATTTATTACAGCCGCAATACAAATATATATATATACACACACATATATATAATGCTTTGTCTATTTACATATATATCCCCACTTTGGTTGCCTATTTACACATATCAATAATACTTGTATGAATCTGTTATTTACAGTCTAATCTATATTAATATGCTATATAGGTTGTAAACGTCACATACAAGCAATTCTTTAGGGAGGCAAACCATTTCGCAGACGCCCTCACCAAAGTGGGAGTTGACAAACCCCCAATGTTCACTACATGCCAATGAAATGGTCGAAGTTGCCGCTCCAAAGTTGGTGAAAAGGCCCTGCCGCATTTCGCTGCTGGAGACACCCTTGTGCAGCCAAGTGGAAACAGTGTGTGGGTGAACCGAAACGCCACACTTTAGCCTTAGTCATGTTCAAGGACGTGTCTGCTGGATACACATCCCCCTTGATGCCGCCAACTAGAATTGATGTTTGTGCCCATTTTATCATATTAATTTTTCAGATTCAAGGAATAGCGTTGTAATGGTATCATCCTACCTTCTGGGAACACTCTATGCTGCCTGCTGGAATTGTTGCTTGTGCACTTCTGGAATTAATGTCTATGCTCATTGTATCTTCATTTTTTCTGAGTTTAGGAACAGCACCATATTTGGGAAAGGTTAGGAAGAGCTTTTAGAGAGAATATATAGAGAGGTAATTTATGAAATTCTAATATGTCTCTTTGATTGCCAAGCTTTTATATATATATATATATATATATATATGAAAACTTATTATATAAAAATAACTATGATTTTTGTGAGGAAAAATTTTTTTTATTCACGCACTAAAAAAATGATATTAATTGTCCTTATTAACTTCATAAATTACTTCACTTTGCTTATATTTTTTTTTTTGATTTGAATGAAAATTTAATAATTTTTTAAGACAATAATCTAATGTAATTACCATTGATAATTTAAAATCACCATCACTGTAAAATAAAATAAGACAATCTAATCAACCTGCATAGATGATTGTAAATTTTGAAATAATCAGCTGTCTTAAATGGCATCGAAACGTGGAATAACAGCAATTACTCTCTACGGGACGCCATGGATGTAGACATTCACCGAAGAAGAGAAGGCAACGTGGTGGGAGAGAAGAATGGTGTGTATTAAAGCATGTAAATTGTTAAGGCTCTTTTCTCTTGGAGAAGATTTGATAAACATATTAATTCCCTCGTCAATGAAACAACGATTCAATTGAATCCAAGTGGTAGTAATATTTCATATGGATAAGTGGAGCCATAGGGCATAAGTAAAGGCTTGATCGTAACTTGTTATATACAACCCTTCTTTTTTCTTTAGTGTAACAACTAATAAGACATATCATGATATCTCACCTTGAAGAAAAATTAGAGAAATTACGCAAATGCATTGTCACATTGATATTTAAGCTTGTAAATTAAAGCTTCGAGTAGAAAATAAGCGATAGGACACACTGTATAAAATAATGAAGCGACAGGACACACTGGATACACTGTATACAAAATGGCGACTGAGAAGTAAGATTGCATCAAACTATCAAACTCCAAGGCACACATTACGTGCCTACAACCACAAACTCCAAGTTTCTAAGACATGATTTTAGTTCTTCTGCAAACCTTATAATAGAAAATCCTGAAAGAAAACAGCAGCGCAGCTGCAGCATATGTACATCACCCACTACGGTGGAAACAGGGGGATTTGAACTTCGCTGCCTAGCTTCCATCCAAGAACTTGTCGACCTTGGCGTTGACACTTGCAGAGAGAAACTTCATGCAAATAGGAGGGTTGACATTAAGAAGAGCTAGAATAGCAGCTGGGACACTCCACAAAGAATCGCCACAGATGAGGCCGGATGCTACAGCAGGTGCAAAGTCGGTGGCCCTCTGCTTGTTCTTCTTCTCCCACAAGAAGAGAATCAAACTCCCGATGCACATGTCTATTGCAAAGTAACCACCGAGGTAGAATGGGATGGCCATGCACATTGGACTAGGAATAAACCTATAAATCCCCAACCTGGTCTCATAACGCTTCAGAAACTCTTGAACCAAGTTTATAAAAATGCCAGCAAGGAAGAATCCGATGACAAGATTCAGACAATTCTTGGGAAGGGAAGAGATACCCTCGACACCAAGAAGGGCAATTCCACGATATAAGAGACCGTAGGGTGCTGGATAGGTGCCACTGGGGTCACCAATTGGGTAAGCGTTGTAGAAGAACCAAAAGACCAATGGTGTCAGGAAACAACCCATTGCCGTCCCAAGTACTTGGCTGAAGAACATAGAGCGAGGCGATGAAAGAGTAAGATATCCTGTCTTGAAGTCTTGCATGAGATCAGATGCTGTGGAAACAATGCTCATCATCACACCACAAGATGCAAGCCCAGCAATGATACCACCATGTTCAAGGCCAACCCATGAACTGAATATGATGATGGCCAATTTCCCATAGTTGGAGGCAAGAGACCAATCCGTGAGACCACAACCATAGGCATTGCAGAAGGCCAAGACAGGGGCGATGGCATAAGCAACAAGAATGTGATACCATTTTAGTTGATGGAAGATGAAGGGAACTGCAATGATGGATATGACCGCCAGTACAATGTAGCCTCCCATGGCTACCTTGTTTGGGATCTGATCTTTTAAGAAGTTTTCAGTTCGCCTGTGTTCATCATAATTTGCAATCTGAGCAGCCTGATCAGTAACATCAGGGGTAACAACAGACGAGTCCTTGCTGAAGTTTTTGGCTATAAGACTCTGTATGGTTTTGATTAGCATGAAGAGCACATGGTAAAGCCCGTCTCCAAGCATCATAGCAATAGCAATAAAAACCTGTCAAGACAAACCAAAGTTTGACAATTTAAGAACCTAGTCGAACAACTAAGATTTAGATCACCGCAAAGTAATTTACCCAATAAGGAGGATAAAGGAAAATTGTGTTGGTAACTGGATAAGATAAGCAAATACCCTGTATCCTTGGATGCCATGGAGACTGCCTGGACTTAGATTAGCACTATACCAGATGCCTTTCTTGCTCTCAATCATTGGCCACATAATTCCCCATGAGATTATGGCCCCAATAAGCAAAGATACATTCACCATGTAAGGGCAAATCATCCCAACGCCTACATATGTTGATGAGAAATCAAAGTAGAACCTATAAGACAACGAAATTATCATGAAATCAACCTCGGCAGTCAATATATATTCATCAAATTAAAGACAAAATACAAATTCCATCTTTGCTAATTTTTTTTAGTCTCATTTTTTGCAAATCAGACACCATCATTTGTTATGTTCAAGCCATACTTCTTGTTGAATGCTTGGAGACCGAAAGTAGGGAAGCTAGCGAATCCGCAGCCATCAATAGCAGTGTAAAACCATTGGAAAAAGGCGAAAAGGAAGCTGAACACAAAGCTTTTGAAGAGATACGCAACTTGTTTCCTACAAAAGTCATTAATAATCAGAGACATAATCAGTGAGGAAATAAGTTTTAGGCAGACAAATACGAAATAAAATACAAAATATAAAAATCATATGAGAAAGAGGGAAACAATTTGGGCTTAATGCTAAAAAGGATTGGTATGACCAAATATACTTACTTAGCTAACTTGGCACCTTTGGGCGTGTGGAAACTGTTGATAAGGTATGCAGTTGCCGTCCCGCTAGGGTATGTTAGCTTGTATTTCAGGATCATTATCTGGGAACAGTTTGGTCCCAAGTATTAATAAAACTTTGTGACTTTAATCTTCTTGAATTTGAATGTGGAGAACATATATATTATACTAGTACCATAATAGAAGCAAAGCTTCTGTGAATTAAATAAAAAAAGTAAAGAAATAGTAGTCAGCATTTGCTTCCTAACCTTTCTGAGGGGCACAATAGAGAACAAGCCAACAAAGCTGACGACAAAGAGAAATCCCATCATCCAACCAATGGAAAGTTTCTTCACATTCTCAGGCGTATTTCCACCGTCTCCTTGACTAGCTACAAGAGGACTCATTCCCAACAAGTAACTTGCAGTGCCACCTAATGATTCACCCACAATTATTAAAAAAGAAAAACAAAAAAGGGATATTATTAACAGATATAATATAAAGATCCATTGCTGCTTTGAGTATATATCAAAGCTTTTACAGCAGGGATTGGTTTCAACTTTTAACCCTTGATTTGCAGATCATATATAACATGTATAAACAAAAAATTCTGAACAAAAAGACGATCAGAGGACAAGAAAACAAAGCCATCTAAGTTTAAAGACGTACCGCTGAAGGCAATTCCAGAGGAGGCGACCACACATGTTTGGATGACAGTATTCTCTTGCCTGGTGAAAGGCTGCTTCAAGAATCCAACCTTTGCAAGAGTTGTCGTCCACGCCTTAACAATTGCGAAACCCAACAAACCAGCGGCAACGTTGAGGGACGGTATCACTCCGGTGGTGAGGTTGAGCTTGCAAACAATGAAGTTGAAGACCAGGCTCAAGAGAAGGCTAGTCACCACAGCCCTCAGCGTTATTTGGTTCGTCCATGAGGGCACTTGCGTGTTCCTGAAAGCATCCTCGACGAAAACTTGATCGGTTTTGAAAGCTTCGGCTGTCTCATGAGAGGCTGTCTCCCACTCTTCTTCTCGCTCTCTGGACCTCTCCATATGGTGTCTTTCCCCCTATCACTCCACGGCAAAAGGTTGAACACAAACCCTTTGCTCTCTCCTCTTGGTTTTGAGAAGTAAGAATCCCAGTAGATCCCAGGTTTAAATTTGTATCCTGCTACGAAACTGAATTACTCAAATCCAGCTAATGCGTGACTATATATGTACACTGATCCAAAGACTGATGGAGTTGGCAGTGCAACAGTTACAGGGTGGCGTATTAATAACCCAGTCCCATTGTAAGGTTTGACCAATCGGAAAAGAATCTGAAAGAATCTCAATTTAATAAGTTTTGACGCCCACGTCATTACGTCCGTCTAGGTCCATGCATTCCTAGGCAGTCCACGAGATTCTCTCTCCCCCTGTCCATTTGCTCTGCTCACAGTTGTTCTCTGCTTAGTTACAGTTCCACTCCATCTAATATTTCAATACAAATTTCAAAATTAATTTTTCTGCTGAAAAAACCAAGAACAAATTTAAATGCAATCAACCTTTTATCATAAATTAATAATGATTTTATATTTTATACACTAATAATGTAGAAATTTTATATATTATCAATGAATTAAATGTTATCATTTTTTTGATAAAAAAATGTCACCTTTTTGTTCATAAATATATTTAACAAATAAAATAAAATATTCGTAATTTGTAAGACAGGAAGGAGCCTTAAGCCAAAACTTATCAGCATTTTTCTCTAATGTTCTCAACAGTACTGATAAAACTTCCATATCCTAATAGTATATTTAAAGTAAAAAATTAAATATTTACAATGCAAAAAGGGGAAAGGAAGGTAATTTGATTTTCCAAAGACATTTTATGGTGTGTGACAGAATGAGGTGGCATTAGATGTAATTTCCAAATACTGAAAAGACGTCCTTATAGAAAATAGCTAGCCTCCTCATCTTCATTGCCGTACATGGAAATTGCACATATGTAATGCGGGTCGGAAAGAATTCACAGATTCCAAATTAATGTTTTGGTTCAAAAACAAAAAATCTAAATAAATAGGTCTTTAAATATAAATCACAGAATAGATGTGAATAGTATCAACCCCGTTGAAGTGTCCAGCTGATGTTGTTGGAAGCGTGGAAGGGTTTCTGATGGGCTGGTGCATGGAGAAGTTTCAAGGGATTGAGCCAGATTGCCTGCTCAAAGATGGATGCATGAATGTTATCGGAGCTGTTGAGATTAAGGGAGGATTCCTAAATTGGTATGTTCAGGTCAAGTGACGTCAACCGTAAGCCTGTTTTTGGGTGGAGCGTATACTCCAGTTGGAGCTTTGCTTTTTCTAGATGTTGAAAGTCAAGGCAATAGGCTTGGATTATAGCTTCTTCTTTTTTTGTGTATTTTGTTATAATATTGGGTCTCTTTTTGTTTATGTGGTTTTGATGTTTGTTTTAGTATCAGGTTTTGAATTAGTTGGTAATTTGATGAATGGGTAAATACAGAGGCCTCCTCCTAATTTAATTTCTTTCAGGCTGAAATCGCGGTCTCTGTGCATTGCTCTTTGTTACACCGTGCACGTCGTTGTTATAGTTGTAGTTAGTTGTTGATTTTCTAGCGAAGTAGGCCTCTGATATGCTTCTATATATACCGTTACACCTCCAAATTTCATATGCTTCGAAGACAAAAGTATGATCAAGATTCAAGATTGACAAATTTAAAAATAGTTTTACTATATGTATGTGCCCTTTTTTTTTTAAGAATTGGGACTACATAATAAGTTTGAATTGGTGATGAGCTCTGAAAATGACTATACATATGCCAGTAATGCTCACAAGGGATTGCAAAATCTTTGTAACAACAATGACTTTATACTCCATAAATGGATGATACAACAATGTCAGTCGTTTTCTGCCAAATAACTCTCTCTCTCTCTCTTTTCTTCTTTAAAATACCAAATTTAAAAAGAAAAGGAAAAAGTAAAGAAGATGAAAGCAAAATGAACTTAACAAGTGACTTTCAACAAAATTCATTACTGTCTTTCCCTTTCCCATCGAAATTAGCAGAATTTATTCTCCAATTCTGTCTGCTTTCTTCAAATTTATCTAATGGTTCCAACCATTTAGTATCATTCAAAAATTGTCCTGTGCTTTCAAAGCACCCAGTTCCTGGCTCAGAAAAAGATAGTGAAATTCAACATACATATTTGAAACCATATATAAATACCAGCTTCAAGGTAACAAGGTTTTTACCAATTAGTATTAAGCCTTAGGTATGACATCATAGAATTAACTAGTGATCATAAAAAGAATACAAGCACAATTATTTCTACAATTATTATCGCTTATATTACTCCATTTAGGGGTGCTTAGCTGTCAAGCATTTGTTTAAAATCTTAAGTATACCTTTAAGAGAAGACTCTTCCAAATAAAATCCCACTGAAAACAAGGGCGCCAAACCACTTGTTAGACACAAACCTGTAAACAAGAGAAAAAAGAAATGAGAGAGAACAGCAAACCACAAGCTGAGTACAAATGAAAATGAACACTTAGTCAAAATCAGATCCCCAGATTCTCCACTAGCAAGCATTATAAAAGGTTTAAGATCTTTGTGTATGATCTGTAACTTTCGTCTATTCAAATCCAAATTACTGCAGGCAAATTAGATTAAATTTGACAGGAAAAAGACTTTTGAAACTTATCACGCACTTTCTATTGCAATCAGCACGGCATGTGAGATTAACAGTCCATATCTGCCAAGCTAAATGTCCAGATGCAGCTGCCAGAAAGGCATAATATGGCCACCCTGCTCAATAAGTGATTTAGAAAACTTAGCAAAACTAAAGTTTACCATAAGCAAACTGCACAAAAACTCAATACAAGGCAAGCAAATACCTATATCAGCATTGAATCCACTGAGAGCAAGACTACTTATGCATGCAATTCCAAATCCAACAAACCACTCCTTAGTTGAATCCCCAAACCTCAAGGCTGTAGATTTAACACCAACTTTCATATCATCCTCTTTATCCTGAATGAATAGTTATCATAGTTAAAGAAAGCAGCTATCCTTAAACCTTTCTGCCAGCAAATCCTACTTTTCATACTCCTAACAGATATTGGAATACAAAAATCTTTAATCTATATAGATACAGTATCTCACAGAAGATTTTTGTTTTTTTGGAGTGGAAGGAAAAGAATACAGAACAAAAGCAATGTAAACAGGGTTGATTTTATTAACAAATAAGTTTTTCTCTTTTTTTTTTTTCTTTGTGGTCTTACAAACTTATAAATATGGTGATCCGCTAGTAACCATAAATTTTTTATATATAAAAAGATAGAATTTATATAAACGCCATTGTCGGCTCCATAAATCAACTATTGTCACCCATAAAACTGTTTTGATCTCAAACAGACCTGTCTCAATTGTCATTGCAAACCTGTCACCCCTCCAAATCCCAACCAGAGTTAAGATGTGAACAATTAGTAACTACAGTCTAGTTTATAAAAAAAATAAAAATTGAACATATAGAACCATACTAGCTCCCCAAACTTAAGAATAACAGGCCATTTCAAGCTAGGATTTATTCCACTGAAAGCTGTAAAGAAAAGCACGAAGAACTTATGGCTTTCAAGAGATAAAGTAGTACCTGATGAGCATATATTGTATCATACACAAGAGTCCAGAATACTCCAGAAAAGTAGAGTGGAAACACAATGGCTGGATCTAGACTTCCTTTAACAGCAGACCAACCTAATAAGGCTCCCCAGTTGAAAGTCAAACCTAGATAGGCTTGGGGCTGACTCAACAATATGCATCAAGGTAAAGAAATATACAATACTGAGCATATGAAAGCCAAAAGAAATATACAAACATCATTACCCAAAATGTAAATCTTTTCATGAGAGGATAAGAGAAGACTAGCAACAAGGATGAAGCCCCCAAAACACGGCTGTAAGAAATAGTTAAGCAACATCAGTTACATGAATCACAAGCCTTGTACCAAACATGTCTATTGATCTCACAAAACTTGCAAAGGAGATGGAGAAAAGACAAAAGTGAAATTCGGACAACATAAAATAGAACTCCTATGGTTAAGCAACTACTAATACAATGGAAAATCCCACTTAAAATCATGAAAGGTGGTTGGTAACGTTTTCATTTAAGCAAATAATTTAGAAGATAACTGAAGCAAGGGCAGGAGAATGAACTCTAACCTATAATTATTAAGTTGAAGGAGAATTCCAAGACCCAAAAGCAGTTGAAACCCAAGAAAACAAATCCCTTTGAATGGCGTCAAAAGACCACTTGCAACTGGTCTTAGCTTTGTACGCTCTACCTGCGTGCAAAATGCTCCCATATAATTACATTTGTGAGAGCTGGCACATGCCAAGAACTAATAAGCAGAAATTAAGATTACAATCCCGCAAAAAAGAAGTGAAATTGCGAATAAAAAGGGTGAAGAAACGATTAAGGTCACCATAGTATCAATATCCCGATCAAGGAGGTCATTAATGGTACAACCAGCACCCCTCAAAAGCAAAGCTCCGCAAACAAATAGAGCCATCATCTTAAAATCAGGAAGATGCCCAGGTGTTGCTGCTAATGTAATTGACCTTCAAAACGAAAAAAGAGTTCAATGCTAAAGCAACAAAATTTCAAACATATTCTAAAACCAATCAGAGCACAACTAAATTAAAAGAAGCATGGGAAGTCTTACCACATACAAGGCCAAGCGAGCAACCATGTTCCAATAGGCTTATCGAGGCGGGCAAGCTTAGCGTAAGGCTGAATTGCTCTCGGCAAATAAACGTCAATCCACGAAGGAACCTCCACAACATTCTTGTTATTGCCGCTACTACTATGCTGCTGATCAACTTTGCTCGAGCGGTCCTCGACTCCTGAAGAAGTCGATATCCAAGCAATTCCGGGACTGAAATTTGAAAGGACTGACAGATTTTCCTTGGAGATTTTGAAATGATCACGAGAATTTTCATAATTGGGAAACAAATGAGAAAATCGAGTGAAATGGTTGCTAAAATGGGGATTCGTAATCGTGGCTGTGGACGATGGCAATGAGGAGAGGATAGAGAGTGAAGAAGAGAGAGCAGGTCTGAGGAGGCTGCGTGAGGCGCTACTGAGCCGAAATGACGCCATCTTTTCAGTCTTCACTCGGACTTAGGTTTTGGGTTTTGGATAGAGGGCTTCACCGTTTGAGGTACGCAACTGGGCAGCCTAAACTGTGCCGTGTCTCTCATTATTGGACTGGAAATCGACCTTCCAAGAATGTCTGTCATTTGCTAAGCATCCGCATAGCTAAAGAAATGAAATGTAATTGACAAAGAATTATGTTGTCCGGAGGTAGGGATGAACAATTCCTATTCACCCGATGGATTCTATAGCGATCTGCCCTGAAAGAAACGGTTTTCTTAAAGACCGGCGTGGCGGAGCGGAGCGTGGGTTTTTCTTCGCTGGTCAGAGGCTTCTGGTGAATGTCTCCCGCCCCGCATATGACATTATCATTTTATTTTGATTAAACTTCACCTCGTTTTTAGTCTGTTTTAGGGCTTTTTTTATTAACATATAGAACATATTGTTTTAATTAATAGTTTTGTGAATAATTTTTGTTTTTACGTAAATTAGTTTATTACTTTTGTCAGTAAAATTATCAAAAAATTCTTCAATTCAAAATTAATCTATTTATTTATATTTAAAGATATTGTAAATTTATTAAGCAATTCACTAGATGGTATCAATTAGGAAAAAAAAACTACATTGCTATGTACAGAAAGTGTAAATCACAATATATTTAATTAAAATTTACTTCATTCTTTTTACAAATTATAAATATATATACATATATATATATATATATATACATATATACATATATATATTTGCCGTCGCTTGAACACCGTCTTACATGTTCTCCCTCCACAAAGCCAAGGCATCTTGATTGGAAGCAGGATGGTAGTCGACCTATTTGATGCATATTTAATGGCAAGTTACCAGTATATTTTAGATTTTCTTTTTATTGTATATCTTGCTTTTTAAAATGGAATAAAGCACCACACATTCTTCTTCAAATTAAATAAAAATAAAAACACCATTGGCTTGAATATGAGATAGGCGTTGTTACTCTGGCATCTCGCCCTGTAGAAAAAGGAATAAGAGAATCAATGCTTCAAAGGGTAAAAAATTGCTTTCTGGCAGAAAAAATTTACAGTGACTGAAGAAATAGAGTTGCACATTTTTCTTCTATATATTAAATAACGTACGTATGGTGATGTAACAATATATTGAGGAACAGTATTAGAATAATCACTTGTAGCTTGCTGTGGCAATGCAGTTGCCACAACCTAAATTTTACCAATAAAATTTAACAGCAACAATGCTTCCACGGCACAGATAAAAATTCAGAAAATTAATTTTTTCATCTCAACTTCATTGATGCAAATGAAGTTGCCAAATCCATGGCCTCATTAACGTGTGATGCATCCGTTCCCTGAAACAAAACACATTCCATAGATTACAAAAGATATGGCATGCAAAGAAGTTAAGTCTGCGGAACAGCATGCAACTGGATTCAAGTATTAAGAGATACAAATCCAAATATTTATCACAGCTAAGTCAAGTTCAAGCACCAAGTTACGAACCTGTCCTGTAGCCAGACCACCCTTGCCTCTACCGCACCTCCCCTTTAGAGGCCCTAGTGCATTTGTCAACCACTCTGACACTTCCAATAGCTTGCTCTGGGCTGATTTCTCTGGTACACCAGCATAAACGACAGCCTTGTTTGTAGTTTCATCGGTGCTGAAAACCATAACTGGCATTCCCTGTTCATCCAACGACAACATTTTTCACAAATGTGTATGAAACAAATTTTGAATAAAGACTCGATTAATTGAAAAGAGGTAAGGCCAGAATTAGCTAGAAACCTTTTGCTCCATAACTTTTGAAACTGCTTCACGAAGAGCAGCTGCATCTAAACCAACATCAATACGGGAGACACAGAAGGTCTTTCCCTCTGAGGCAGCAACTTCAGCCAATTCTGTTGCTATCTTGACAGCTTTCTGCATATTTTCTTCAGCAATCTTCTTTTGTGCCTTTTTCAGTTGATTCTGATAAAACAAACGATTTTTTTAAAATCTAAGACCATAACACACATTGATGGACATCGAGAAAAGGTTTAGTATTACGAATGGCTAAACAAGAAGATCAAATCTGGAAATTTGTTGCTCCAACTCAGGTTCTAGTATCAGACTTGGTTATATATTTGATGCAGACACATTAAATTTTGCAGGACTTTCTACTTGCATTTACAAGGTCATATCCTCATACCCACATCTCTACTTTGAAGCATGTAATATGGGTCTAACATGCATATATTAAGGATAATGTAGAGTCAGAGGCAACATACATGAGAATAACTAAATTTGATGTTGACACAAAGTCTTGTTTAGATCAGCTATGATACCTGAAGTTGGGCGATCTTGCCCCTAATGTCAGCCTTTTTGGCAGCAGGAATTGATGCTGAATCCACACGAGTTTTTAAAGAAGCCACTTTCTGTAAAGATGCCAAGTAAAATTTCAAAATGGAATGCAAAAAAGGTATCATACTCCTTGTTGCAGGATGTTTTCATTTAGCAAAAAAAAATGACTCTCTTAAACGGCATGAAATCATCCCTAAATGAGATGAAAAGGAGAGACCAAGTGTTTTACAATCTATCACAGTTTAGCTAGTTTTGTATAAAAGATGAATATAACTGCACATTATGTATGAGAATGCATGAGGAAGCAGGAGACGTATAACCACTAAGCAATTACATGATCAACCTTACTAGGTAACAAAGGAGCTTTAAAATCTGAAAAACCTATGGTCCAACCATGAGAAACTAGTGAGGCACATTTCTATGGTTCTTTCTGTTCAAGAGGTGTAAGAGAGCAGATAAAATCATAGTCATAACAATTGAAAACTAAATAACCAAGATATATGCCCTAAAACAAAAGTTCAGGAAAAATGGAATAAATTGAACTGGAAACACAACATTAGGAAACATGAAGACAAAAACACAGAAGTGACCTTAAAGCAAGAAGAATAAGAGTAATATAGCAACTAAAACAAAAATAAGGCATTTGATAGTAAGAACTTCCAAGCATGAAAAGTTTTAGAGACCTAAGTACAGAAACTGACCTTCTCCAGCAAGCTTACTTCAATCTTGGATGCATCATCTACTTCCTTTAAAAGCAGGTCAGCCTGTTCCATTGCCGTCAAAGCGCTCTCAGTAGTGACAGCAGTTATCCTTCGAACTCCTTTAGCAATTCCCTCCTCAGATAAAAGAGCGAAGGCTTTTGCTTCCCGTGTATTTGTTATGTGTGTACCTATAAACACCATTAAATCCACTTCAACACAAAATTCATAGCAAGGCTTCTAGTAAAGTCATTCAAATAAAGAAATTAACCTCCACATAGTTCTGATGAAATTGATGACCATTCTTTGTTTTCTGGATCAGAAAGGAGGTCCTCCACTTTTTGACCAATTGCCACAACTCTAACCGGATCAGGATAAACCTGCATTAAAAGCATAACACAACATAACTACTACAACGAATGTGTGAAGCCAAATTAGAAAGCCATGATGATGAAATTGCTTAAGCTTACTTCTCCAAAAACAGCTCGCAAACCATTGATACGCTTGGCTTCAGCAAGTGTTGCCTCCTTTGAATACACATCTAACTCAGCTTTTATTTGCTCGTTCACAATAGACTCAATTTTCCTCAAATGATCAGCATTGATAGCACCATCTCTGTTCGGATCTAATAACATTGGATCAAATTTTAGCAATAGCTTAAACCATACTTCAAACTAAATAGAATAAAATTAGGTCAAACTTACCATGGGAAAAATCAAATCTCAATTTTTCAGGAAGAACAATGGACCCCTTCTGGTCAACATGATTGCCGAGTACTTCCTGCATTTAAATCATGAGGATGAGAAACATAGAAAAGTGCTTAAAAACTATAACAATAATATCAAAAAGGACTAAAGAGTTATGAAGATCAGCATGTTAAGTGTACCCTGAGAGCAAAGTTCAACATATGCGTGCAAGTATGGTTTGGAGCAACCAACCCACGCCTATCATAGTCAACCTGCAGAAATGATTGAAATACTGAAAAGGTTGCAAATGAAAAGAAGCTATTCATTTTATAGATGAAAATAATAAAGGATACTTGGAAAATAAAAAGCTAATTTAAAATGTATGGTTTTACCTTACAAGTTACTTTATCACCAACAGAGAATTTGCCAGTAACTCCAGAAAGCGAACCAATATGGAGAACAAAACCTCCAAAAATTTGAACATTACATACTTGGAATGAGCCAAAGGAACCATCAAGAGATCCTGTATCAAAAATCTATGTCCAGAAGAAAATATGTCAGGTGAATAAAGAAAGCAAAACAAAGGAAAGCAAACATTTGACTCGTTGCTTTCTTTATTGATGGAACTTTTAGTTCAATTTCAAAGAACATATGCACATTGCTAAGGATAGAATCATATAAAAATAAGGGCGCATGCAATAAATGAATGTATTATTTTCTTAAAAAGTTCATAGTTGCCTTTCTTCATTATTATTTTCAAGTAACTTTTCAAACTTAAAAAGTTACAACAAGCAGAAATTTCCTTGTAAAAACTAATAAAACTGTCTATAAAACCTTGACCAATCCCTGCTCAAAGCAACCACCAAATTCCAATCCTAAGCATAATTTACTGTCCATAGCTCCAGGACAGCAGGCACTTTTCTTCCTTTTTATTTTGCTTTAACCCTCAAAATTCAATCTTTTCCATTCTAAATCAATATGAAGACTTTGATTATCATTTCCCAACCAATAAAGCCCCAAAATTATAAGTTCTTGCTCACAGTATAACCAATTTTTTCTATGTTTGAGGCAACCAACCTACTGTACAGCACTGGATCATACAAACATAAAAAGTAAACTCAAACATTGTTAGGATACAATTTCTTATGCACTTGAGTAGAATACCTGACCACCTTGCTCAGCATAGAAACTTGTAGATTCCAAAACTAAACCAACATCATCGCCAGCACTGGCACTTTCCACAAACTCTGAACCAGTGTAGATGGCCTTTATTACACTCTCATGGTCCTGAAACAGTAAAAGAATAGTTGAGAAACATCAAAACATAGAATACCCATTATCAGAAGGATAGGAATGCATAGCTGGCTATTTCAACTCTAAAGAAAAAGAGTAACTTGAGGAACATACTCTTCTGATACTATAAGCAATAAATAATCATTTAGCTCTAATGTTCTAATACATCAAACAGGAGAATAAGGAATCTCATTCAAGACTGAAATGAAAGTTTATGAACCAAAGAAAGAAACTTTTAGAAAATATCAGATACAAAATTGCCAAAAAATCCTTTGCCATCTTCAATGGAATTTTCACCTTATCTTAAATGTTTATTAGAGAGATAAGCAAATCTGTTCCCTACACAGGCATACTGCAGTTGTAATACAAGGATCTCTCAGTAGCCAACACTAATTAAACTTTGCAATCTTTCATACTAATCAAACTCAATGACAATCAAACTAAAGCTCCATCTACAGATAAAGATGCATGCAGACCTGGAACCAAATGAATTTGAAGGAATCATCTGTTGTAGAAACCCCCTTCCTGTGCAATGCAGAGGTAGCATCAGCATCCATGACAATAGCACCACCAGCTTGCTGCAAAAAGATTCAATTAGCATGGAAAAAGGAAAAGCCACAACAATGTGAAAATTTCCCCTCTACCTTAAGATAGTTTTGCCTCATAACTATTTTCAGCTTCTTGATGCATCAACTGTTTTCCTTTTCGGTTACAAAAATAGTCTCTAAAAATGCCTAGCATCTTTTACTTATTCATTAAAAGGAGAATGAAAGAAAAAAATCTAGCAGATTATTAACAAAGGATAAATGGAATAGATGAATCGAACCCCTATTACCTTAGTTCTTGCACTCCTTGACTTTTCCCTTGCCTCATCCATGGCATTATTGAAACCCTCAACATCTACTATCAAACCTCTTTCCTCTGCCATCAACTGCAACAATAAAGACAATTAGGATGGAGAGGCACATAGGTTAATATATATAAAGAAAACCAAGGCCATCTGCCTACCTGAGTTAAATCTAATGGAAACCCGTATGTGTCCCACAAGATAAATGCCTCCTGCGAAAAAGACATAACAAAGCTGAATATAGCCACTGATATAAAGAAAGGAGGTCAAGACTCCTATGCCCAAAACCAAAGTTACATTCATTTCAGGTTCATATGTCTATGTCATCTGCCTCTACAGGCAAGTTCATAAATTTTCTTAAATTATTAGGTCTGCTTTTCAAGATCAGCACTCCGAATTCTTAAGAGCATTCACTATCATCAAAACTAGCATAGAGATTTTCGAAAGAATTGAAAAAAGTAAAAACAAGTTCAAAAAGCAGCTCAGAAAGCTAGCTTACAGCTTCCTATAAACCACTCTAAGTGCCAAAAATAAGTAAAAATAGAATAATTCATTCAAAGCAGACTGCATAATGCATTGATAGTGAATGTTGTCCTCGATGAAAGAAAAAGATAAATAGAAATGCACTTACCTGCCCACTCAATATTTTCCCCTGAACATCATGTGCAGCCTTCTTAAATTTCTCGATCCCCTGAACATAAGTTGACAATCGGCCATGATTATCATTGAAAATGATGGGCAATACACTAACCATTACAGGAAGATCATACCTAAAACTGATTAGGTAACACAGCTAAACAGATGAAATGAAGAAGAGCACTTGATTTAACTTCAAAACTTTAAATATTAGTAGTAATGAAAAGAAGGGGTGAAGTCAACAGTCAAGATGCAAACTTATTATTAAAGGCAGCTTACCACATTGCAGTGTCAAACAGCCCAACCCCCCCAAACCCCAATTGAACCCAAAACATGTTTTTCATCATTGAAATGGCATTTGCCATCATAAAAATAGGTCAAAAAAGGCAAACAGAAAGATCTATTTGGCTATGTGAAAATCATGACACAAATTAGAGGTCACTGATTTTTGATACATGTTAAGAGTAATGACCACAAAATCACTCAACCTCACCTTCACCAAAGTCTTTCCAAAACTTGCTTCTTCTGCTGCAATAATGTCCCTAATGCGTGCTTCATGCTGCTTTAACTCCGGAAAAACATCACCCATCACTTCCACCACAATACTTACAAGCCTGGATTCAACTCGATAATTAAACACCATGCACAAGTTAATGACATTAGTGTTAAGCTAATATCTACAAATTCTGCTTGAATTGTTTTAAAGAGGGACACAAATTGCATTATAGATTTCAACTGTTAACAAAACTAAACAACAGTAACATATTGGTTTTTCCTACCCGCTGAAAAATCCCTCCGGAGCTCTCAAGACCTCGCTGCCGTAGCGAACAGCACGGCGAAGAATACGTCTTAAGACATATTCGCGCCCCTCATTGCCTAACAACCAAAGATAAACATCATGAATCACATTTGCAATACTAAACACAAAGAGCCTCCAAAGAGAAATCCCAGTTGGCTAAATACATGACATAATAACAAATGCTTTGTAAACAAAATCTACACTTACCATCCCCGGTTAAATTGATAATGCATCCACCAGAAATAAATGAGAAGGTCTCTATAATAAGGTGCGCAGCATTTAAATAGACTTCTAAAAGGAAAAGAACAATGCAGAGCTGAAATTCAACAAAATCTTGAGGAAAAATGTGTATCATGAAAATGAAGAAAGAAAAATGTATCGTAAAATATAAACTTGGGGAGAGGATTTTTCATTGTCATATGACCCCAAGAAAGATGTTTTATTGTCAGCAATATCACTGCCCAGCAGCTTTGCTCAAAAGCCGCTCTTAACAGGATAAGATAATGTAAGTTTACACACCATGAAAATTATAGCAAAAGAAAGCCTCCCCAACAATCCCAAGACAAAGAGGACAGAATTTTTCCTTTTTTTAAAAATGAATGATCAATCATGAGAAAGATGGACACTGAATTGAACCAGAAAATAAAACAGACATGCAACAAGAAACCTCATGTAAATATGTACCTGGAGAAGCACCATCAGCAATGGCAAATGACAGAGTTCTAATGTGATCGGCAACAACCCTATATGCCATGTCAACTTTGTCAGTATCATCTGGCCCAACTTTTCCAGAATATGGACGTGCGCCAGTAACCTATTAAAAAGAGAGAATAAAGAAAAATTATGCATGTCAGTATCATCTCACAAAATAGCTTCAGAGTTTGAACAACCATTATATAAAAGTCAACAAAAAATTAAGAAACCATCAAACGTCATGATATTTGATCAGACTAGTAACTAAAGAATATATTCTCTAACAGAAATGGAAAACAGAAGAATATAAGCTTTTAAAGTGCTGAGGAAGATCAAGAGAAGTATCATAATTCTTCATAAGCATCAAGCTTGATTTCAATATATACATCACCGTCAAGTGTAAGCACATGTCAGTGTTAACATAGATGAACACAATTGATTAGACCAATTATACAGTGTCCTTTTCCTTTTTCTTCCCTATGGAACATCTACAAGAAAGAAATAGAATTTAGGAAAAGAAAACAACAGTATATGTCAGACCATCTCTCAAACATGCAACATGAGCAAATGTCAACCTTGAAATGACACATTTGTGATGTATATACATTTAGAAACTTAAAGATTAGATGAATCATGCTATTAATTAACCAAAAAGCAGCGGAAAAGAAAATACAAAAAAAATCTCCATGCTAACCTGTTGGATAACATCAAAAATGGGCAAGAACACATCAGTATCATAATTGCTCATCTTGTTCTGAAGTACCGAAGTCAATCTCTCAAAGCCCAATCCAGTGTCAACATGCTTTGCTGGAAGAGGTTTTAGAGAGCCATCACTTTCCCTATTAAACTGTATAAGAGTAATGCATACATCAGTGAAAAATTTCATGAATCCAACTGTAATCTGCCGGAAAAAGCAGCCATAACATGCTAACATATAAAGTGGTTAAAGCAGGTTTAGTAATATCCCTATTGTCCGCATACAAAAACAGCACACAGGCACAGACACATGTCAGCAGACTAAATTCTGGAATTAACTTTCAATTTTTAAGAGTGATCAGCTACATGCATATCAGAAAGGCAAATTAAGAAAATGGTGAAAGGTTAACCATAAGACAATACAACAATATATACCTGAATAAAAACAAGGTTCCATATCTCAATACATGTTGGATCGTCATTATTCACCAATGAAGCAGCATCACGATTGCCAACTCTATCATAATGAATTTCAGTGCAAGGTCCACAAGGACCAGTATCGCCCATCTCCCAAAAATTGTCCTACAAAGAAAGGTGCAATACCAATTAGATATGCCATAAACTGCTATTATTCAAATGTAGCCAAACTCTAGAAAATCATAGCAATATGTTAAAATGACTGGATTAGAATAAGATGCAGATAAACCACATTAATTCTACATTACATGTAGATACAGGTAACTATAAAGATTTTCATGAATAATTCATCTTATGCAATGTAAATATCAAAATTAAACTATACTCTCTATTTCTATCAAATAAATTTTTTCCTGCTTCAGATAAGACATATAGAAGACACTAGATCTCAATCATAAAATTGAGCACAGCGAAACGCACAAATACACAAATAGAAGGGCATATATATTCAAATTAAAAATTTCAGGAGAAGTTTTAGAATCTATGAGGTCCACGATAGCATAATAACATCCCTTCTTTTCCTTCTCTGCTTCTTTGCTTTCCAAGAATAGCTTTAATTCATTAACAAAGAAGAATAATAGAAATCCTGTATAGGAAGATTCAAGATATCCTCTTAAGCTAACAGAAACTGTTATGAGCTCTCAAGCCTCGAGACATAGGAAGAAAAGAAACATATGAACATACAAGATCACACAACACAGTGGAAAAGAGGACCTCTTGTTATTGCAAAATTTAACAGGAAAAAAGAAAAAAGACTTGAGGTAAAACATACTTTGCAACCAAATGGCAGTACACGTCCAGGGGGTAGAAACTTGAGCCATGTATCTCTAGCTTCATTATCAGGTGGAAGACCAGCTTTTTCATCACCGCCAAAGTAGGTGGCATATATATGTTCTGTAGGCAGGCCGTAAACCTGAAGTTCAACAAGAAGTAGAAAGCTGTGAAAACAAAATTCCAAAAGAGAAGAGTACTTGCACCCAGCATTTCAAACCTGGACTAATCAAATTGCTACCTAGTTCGTTTATGAAGAAAATACTATCCAAAAAGATATGCTAGACACACACTAAAAAACTATATACGTGTCAATAACAAATAAATGTGGATGATATACCTTAGTAAGGAGTTCCCAAGCCCACTCAATTGCATCCTTCTTGAAATAGTCCCCAAAAGACCAATTTCCTAACATCTCAAAGAAAGTATGGTGGTAAGTGTCTTTTCCTACATCATCGAGATCGTTATGCTTCCCGCCAGCTCGAATGCATTTTTGAGTGTTGCACGCCCTGCTGAGCTTGCTCATCGCTGTGTTGGGATCCACAGTCCCCAAAAAGATCGGCTTGAATTGGTTCATACCTGTTCAATCATTAAAAAAAAACGAATTACAATAAATTTAACGTAATTTTAGATAACTGCTATAGTATAATTGAAAGCAAACCATATTATAAAAACAGCTCAGAATTACAAAGTTGACAAAATACACTTCGATTACTTATAAATCAACTAAACAAATATGTCAGGATAACAATAAGAAAAAAGAAATTAAAATAAATCAAGATCCGCCTATTCATCCGTTCAAACTTATAACGGCAACGAAATTGAAAAATCGCAAAGCAAAGCCTACCGGCATTAGCGAACAAGAGAGTGGGATCATTGAGAGGAACAACTGGACTAGATTTCCAATTGACGTGATTCTTCCCTTCGAAGTACTTGAAGAAGGTGTCCCTCACTTTCTTCGCAGGCCACTCCATTTCCGGCCGGTCAACACCCGGCATCGTTGCGGATTTGGCGAGAGACGGAAACGAACAAGGAGGAGGATTACTGGTGATCGTAGAGAGACAACTAAAACTGAAAACCCTAGATGCCCTAATTCTTGGCGCCGCCACTAGACAAGGATAAGCAATGAGGCTTAAAATATTGTTACAGAGAAGAGCGGCCTTCATTCATATTCCAACGCTAACGTAACCAGATTTTATTTATAGGCGCCAGCGTGTGCGAATATGAATATCAGCATATATTTTTTGTATTTAAAGGGAATATATCAATGTTGATAGTCTTTTTAAATGTAAGAAATAATCCTTTTTTTTTTTTTAAGGATCAATCCTCTAAATTTTTTATTGATTTATCTCGAAGTTTTTATCTTTTGATTCCCTTCGACAAGTAGAATCTAGGAATGGAATCCGTTGTTATCCACTTCACTTTAACTGATTACATGCTCGATTCAAAGAGAGGGATTATATATACATATACATATATATATAAATTGTTTTATAACTGTAGTAATTGTTTTTCTATTTACATTTTTGAAAAAAAAATCCATTGATGACCAGTGTTTGAATGCATAAAAAATCTATTTACAAATTAAAAATAAAAAATATCATTTATTAAAATAAAAATGCTTGTGCGTATTTCTATTACATAAGTTGTGATATGCTAAAGTTTAAAACACTAAATCATTACACTACTTTTATCTTTCATACCAAAAATGTTTTACTACTAATGCCAATTTTTAGCTCCATAAAAAAATTACTTCAAGATATAATAATGTGCTACTAAATTGTGCGATGCTTTGTTATTTACTCATTACTAGTAATTTATTTTGAGTCTTGACTTTTTTGTTCCTTTTTAACTTCAAACTTCCTTTTTTTTCTTTTTTTAATAGGTTTTTATTTAAAAAGAAAAAAGTATAATGTTTAAATAAAATTTTAAATTATTCAAAAATATTCAAATAAGTATTTACCCTTTTCTTATATTAAATCAAGTTCTATATTTTTATTTTGGATTAAATAAACTGTTATTATTAACTATTGATTATACATCTTGTAATTTTATATTCAAATGGTATTCATATGACCTTGATATAAAACGTGAAAAATATCATGTGATCATATTATTATATCAAATTAATATCTCATGCCATCATCAAATATAATATACTTGTATGCCATATTATAATTAATTATAATATTTTAATATATCACATTAACGTCACGTGACATAGAATAATAAATACCATTTTAACTAAATCAATTATTAACCATAAAAGTTTATTTGACTTAAAATAAAAAATACAATGACTTTTATAATTCAAAATAAAAGTATAAGGATTTTATTAAACGAAATTAAAATATAAAAATTTATTTAAACTTTCTTGAATAATTTAAAATTTTTTATATATATTATGTCAAAAAAAATTAAAGAAGGTTATTTTTGTTGTTACTTTGATTTTAGTCTTCTTTGAACTTGGGACAAATTGAATAATAGAAAATCAATCACCCAATAGCTTTCACAAAGATATGAATAATAATCCATAAGTAAATGTCTATTTCTTTGTTACTTTGATGTTAGACAGTGTTTGAACTTGAGACAAATTGATAATTATAAAATTCTCTATATATATATATATATTAATTATTTTTTATTTCTTTATTGTATTAAAATTATATTACCATTTTCATAAGTTTGCGATGCAAGCAATTAGGTTAAATGGACAAACATATTAAGGAATTAATCTCAAGATAAATGATGGGAACATTGAGGTTGCATTTTATTTGAGATATCATACATAATTTGATCTAATAGTTCATAGTTAGGTGATTTTTTTTATTGGTATAATGTTTAAAAAGATTTTTAAATTATTTAAAAAAATTTTAAATAAATGATTTTTAAAAATAATTTTTTATTATTCTATTGCTTTCATTTAAGTTTAAGATAGATCATTATAAATAATAGTTGAATAATTTTTATTAATTAAAAATTAATTATTATTTTATTTTATATAATATTAATATGATGTTTACGTTAAAAATAAAAATATCATTATTTATAATATTTTAACATATTATGTTATTATTTATAATATATTAATATAACACGTTAGTATAATATGATATAAAAATACAAGTGATAGTTAAATAATTATTATTATAAAAATTTATTTAATTTAAAATTAAAACAAAAAATTTTGGTAATGATAAAAAGATAAAGGTGAAATACATTTAAAAAAAAAAAGAGATGAGACGATCCAATTAAACTGGGCCCAATAACCGAATCCAAACAGGGCTCTATTCAAACTTTTATCGGTCCGATCCAATTATCCCATGATATAAAATTTTGGGTTCCGCATAAAAATCCATATCTGACCTGAATCACCGGCTGGACCGCCGGCGTCTCCGCTCTCCTTCTCTTATTCAATCCGGTGGTGTCTTTGTTTTCGTTGCACAGTAAACCTGTAGGCGATGAAGAAGCGGTTGTTGTTGTTGCTGCCAATTTCGATCATTTTACTGACGTCGTTATCAGCCGTTGAAGGCGCATCAGACGGAATAGGAGAATGGCAGATCCTAACCAAACAAAACTTCTCTTCTCAGATCCGTCTCCACCCCCGCACCCTCCTCCTCGTCACCGTTCCATGTAAAGTACAAATTTAATCAAATTAATTCTTTTTAAATTCAATTTACGGTTTTGAGTATATATAAATAAGTATATATTTTAAAATTTTTAATCACGATTAATACAGGGTGCGGCGAGTCCCGGTCCCTTACGAGGGAAGTGTCCCGGTTAGTGACTGACAATTCAAAGGAGTTTGACTCTTTAAAATTGATGCTTATTTATAGAAACACGGAGAAAATGTTGGCGGATTCGATTGGTGCTTCGGATGGAGTAACGGTTTTTTACTATGATCATTCCGTATCTTATAAATACCAAGGAAAGCGTGGAGCTAAAAGTATATTAAATTCTATTTCTCCTTATATATCAGCATCACCCGAAGAACTTCCTTTAAAGCGGCTTAATTCTGAAGATGACTTGAAAGTGTTTCTTGAGTCGACTGATAAAGCGTTAATTTTAACGGAATTTTGTGGCTGGGCTCCTAAGTTGCTGGCTAAGATCAAGAATAATGGAACTGGAAATGATTTGACGCCTAAGGTTGCTGGTAGTTTCTGATTACATTTCGTTTCCGGATTAAATTTTAATTAATGAATAGAAATTTTTTGTTAGCATAATGTGCCTTATTTACTTATTTATTTTTTGTGGAATACAGGGAATGGAAAATGGGAAGCTGAGATGTGGTGTTGAAAATGGGATTCCTGGAATTCCTTGGGTTACTGAGTTTAGCTCGGTAAATGACAGTGTTTCTTTCCAGGAGAGTGAGAATTTAGAGCTTCGTCTTGGATTGAGCTGTACCTTAAAAGAGTTTAAGCAATTTGATTCATTTTTCACGAAGTTGGTCGCTGTTGCAAGAGAGTACTTAATGCCCCCTGAAAGGCATAGATTTGGGCTGGTTTCTGATAGATCACTGATGTCATCTCTTGGTGTTGAAGACTCTGGTACATTGATGGCAGTGATTTACTTTAAAGGATGTCCTGGTTGTTCAAAAGTTATCAAAGATGGGGATGAACTCAAGAGTGCTTTTCTGACTGACGATTCAATTGTTCATGAGGTATGATTTTTTCTGCTTCCCAGTGCCCAAAAAATTGTGGCAAAAAGACTTGAAATTTTAAATAGCAGATTTTATTATTTTTTTATGGTGTTTAGGCTTGATGGGAAAAGAATAGTTTTGGGTTGATTAATGGTTCTAATTGTGTGCCAGTAGAATACATGAAAGCAAACACAGTTTGTAACTTGATGGCTTTATGTTTTTTTAATTATTATGGAATGCTTTTTAACTAAGTATTTGTCAAACTACGAGAGGGATGTATGAATTTTGTTAGCAAGTGGTATAATTTGTACGCATATGGCAGAATTGATTTTCATGCACGAGGAGCATATTTTCTACTGCTATTCTTTGCCAATATCCTGTTAATATATATTTAAGTTCCTGATTGATTCTTCTTTTTATATTTAATTTTTTTAGTAGCTTGTCTTGTCTATATTGATTGTATCTCTTTCTCTTTCTGTCTCTCACATGAACCCCTGCAATGTAGCTAGAGGTTGATGGGCAAGATCCTCAACTTGCTTTACCTGCAAATAAGCCATCAGTAATCCTTTTTGTGGATAGATCATCTGACTCTTCAGAAAATAGAAGAAAAAGTAGAGAAGCTCTTGATGCGCTTAGAGAAGTAGCACTTCACAATCAGATGTCAGATCAAATGAGTTCACAAAATACTAACCATCAAGGCAAATCCTCAGACCTAGCTTATCAAGCACTGAAGGTTACATCTGGACATCCTAGACTACAGCTATCTGAAACTGCTCAAAAGATTAAGTTAAGGGATAAGATGTCTTTTATGATTATAAACGAGGGTAAACATGTTACTCTAGATAATATAGCTTCAGATTTGCAAGGTAAATCCTTGCAAGAGATCTTAGCATATCTTCTTGAGAGAAAGAAGGAAGCAAAATTGAGCTCACTTGCAAAGGAGTTAGGCTTTCGTCTTTTGTCGGATGATCTTGATATCAAAACAGCGCGGGCATCACCATCACAGACAGAAGGTCAATCTAATGAAGTTTCACCTCCTCCACCATCTGAGGAAAGTTCTTTTATTGGTATTGTTGACCCACACAGTGTACCACATATGGAAAGCAAATCCGCCATGCAGCTTGAGGAAAACCCAAAACCAACTGCTGTTGAACCTTCTTCTACTTACAATGAAGACAAGGGAACTTCTGCTGATAAAAGTAAACATTTCATATCTATAGAACCTGACCTACTTTTGGAAGGTCTTGAGCTTGACATAGCTGGTGATTTGAAGTCCAAAGAGAAAATTTCTTCTGAGATGGACAAGTCAGGGGAACAAGAACTTCAGTTTCAAGGGTTTAAGGGTTCATTTTTCTTATGTGATGATAACTATCGACTACTTACATCTCTGACTGGTGGGTCTACAATTCCAGCCTTGGTTTTAGTTGATCCTATGTCCCAGCAACATTATGTTTTCCCTAAAGACGCAAGTTTCAGTTATGTTTCACTTTCTAATTTCCTTCATGGATATCTTAATGGAAGTCTTGTTCCATATCAACGCTCTGCACCCATTCTTCACAGCCCCAGGGAGGCTACTTCTCCCCCATTTGTTAATCAGGATTTTCATGAAATGGATTCCATTCCTCCAGTTACAATGCGTACGTTGTCCAAGCTTGTTTTTGGGTTTAACCAATCTGACAGTGAAAATGCCGCCCATGCTCGCATTGAGGATGTTGTAGTACTTTTTAGTAGTAATTGGTGTGCCTTTTGCCAGAGAATGGAGTTGGTTGTTCGTGAAGTATATCGGGCCATAAAGGGTTACATGAAAATGTTGAAGAGTGGCTCTGGGAAAGAGCAAGCAGTTTTTAATGCTGGTAAGTGCTTTGGACATTTATAAATCCACTTGTCCTTGTTAATTCCTTTATTTTGCTTTTCATATTCAGACCTTAAGGAAAATGTTTGTGTACTCCTTACTGAAATAGCCATATGACTTGTTATCTTCAAGAAGCATTCTTTCTGTAAATTTGCAAATAGGCATGTAAGATGGGGACCTACATTTGGCTTAGTCTTTGAATGAGAATATTTATTGATTATTTCCGTCTTTGTTTGGTGTTGTGTTATGTTTTGAGCAGCGGTCCTGTTCAGAAAATCTTATGCAACTGGTTCTAGTAGTTGAGTGCAACATGCTTCTCAAGGCCTTTTTGGATCCAACAAATCTTCTTTTCATTTTTTATTTTAGTTATGGGGATAAACTGCCTACTCTGCAGGTACCCTGCTTTATCAACTCATATATAAAATTAAGGAAATCAGTGATAAGTGCTATCTGCTATGAAATGCTGCTTCTTGCACTAGAAGTATAAGATTCACCTATTTGTGCTATTTTTTATTCCTGAACTACCTTTTTCATGTTTGTACAGTAGAAAGAATGTTAAGATGAGAAAAATGTTCCTTAAATATTTGTATCTTGACAAGTTTTATTTTTGTGGCAGACAATTCTATGAATAATATGAAACTTCCACTCATCTACCTGATGGATTGCGCGATGAATGACTGCAGTTTAATCCTAAAATCAGTAAACAAGGTTTGTTTTATATCCATCTTTTGATTCCTATGCGAAATTTCAGTCTTTTTTCCCAATCCATCTATTGCATCAGTAAATTGTCATTTTAGCAATGAACTTAATATGTATGATCCCTTGATCAATTTCTTTGAGATTTATAGCCTCAGAGAAAAGATTCTGAAGGAAAAATCATTAGATCTCTAGTACATGGTTTGTTCCAATAGTGCCTATTGCATTCTTCATATCAGTTATCTTTTCTAGTTTTATTTTATCTTGGGGGGTTCTTTTACATTTCAGCATCATGCCTTTTCTTGGCAAAGGGACTCGTTTTATCGGGCCATTGATGAATTATGGCTCAGCCACTGCCAAAGCTTCTTCCTAGCACGGCCGTGTGCTGGCTAGTCTCAATTTTTGGACCACTTAATTCTTAATAACAACTTTTGAAGCCTTTTTCTGAGGGTTTACTGGGATAAAACAACCCCCTCTTGGACAATTTACTGGTATCGATGACAAAGAATAAGAGAACTCTAAATCAAAATATTTAAAGTTGATTGAAAATCAGTCAAGGGAAGTACCATTAGAATTAAACATTGGATTTTGAGCCTCATAAATCCCCACCCATGCATGATCACCCCTTGTAGCTATTCCTTTGGTACACCGCAAACCGGAGTGAGAGAAGGCAACCTATTTCACTCTGTCCCCTTTGAGCTCCTAACTAGCTCTGTCCCTAGTGTTATTTTAAAGTGAGCTCTGGTTAGAGCTTTGGGTGTTACCTTTCCTAGGTCAATTTTCAAGTAACATTGGTTGGATATTCTTGCAAGTTAATGATGCACCCCATGGCTGAAGTAAGAGCAAAAAGAGAAGAAAAACATCTTGAGACCTATTAATGCATTCATCTAATCTCTATTAGATCATTGTTGGTACATGCAATGCCGTTGCCCTTGTTCCTTGTGTTTCCACATTCTCAGACCCAATCTACCTTTTCTCTCATTAGCAGTTAGCTAGAATTCATTCCCAAGAGTTGCAAACCAGCCATCGGTTTTTTATAGTGATATTTGAATGAAAGTAAAGCTCTCTCTATATGTTCTACTACAATTTTATTCATCCATTGTTGCAAAAGAAAAACAATTCTTTTTGCATAAAAAGCAGAAATTTAATAATTTGTGGTTTTTACTTACTTTTGTTCCCCCCTTTGATAAACCTGGGCTTTGCAGAGGGAAGTTTATCCTGCTCTGATATTATTCCCAGCTGAAACTGAAATGGCTGTCTCTTACGAAGGAGATATGTCAGTTGCTAATATAATCAAGTTCATAGCTCATCATGGAAGTAATTCTGGTCATGTGTTAAGTGAGAAAGGTAACATCTTGTGAGTACATTTCTTTACTAAATCTTTGAAGGAAACTGATAGACTTTGATGTTTTCATCCTTGCTTTTAACTGTTATTCCTGCACAACCATTCCATTCTCTTCCCAATTTTTTTTTTTTGTTTTTATGTTTTTTGAAAAAACTTTCCTGTTAGGGTAAACTTGGTTGCTTCTGTTTGTGCTACATTGTTACTTTTCCTTGATTCTAACTCTCTATATGGTTCAGCATCTAAAGTAATTTGGTTTACATGTTTATCTATCATCCTTCCTTTATCTTTAGTCTTTGATTTTCTCTGGACTTATTCTTCCTTTCCATAACTGAATACAATTAACGCATTTCTAGTTGTATTTGTTCTGTCTCGGTTTTTAGTGGACTGCTGCCACCTCAACATGAGTGTTATTTTTTCAATTCTTATAGTATACATCATTTCTGGTGCCTGTCATGCTTCCAAATGGGAATAATAGCAGTAAAGGCACTGTAAGGTATCTTGTAAAATAGTTTATTAGCATAAATTTCGATTTTGTCATTGAAAATGAAGAAAGGATTCTTCTAGCACTTTTTGCAGTGCTCTTTCTATGCAAATCCAACTCTTGCTTTGGTGAATCCTAAATTTGTTGATACTGGCTGAAAGTATGTTCTGCTCGTCCATTTAAACTTTAGAAGAATTTATACAGTCATAAGTATATCCACTTTCTTAACTTTGGAAATGTCATTGCCTCATGGTCTTATTTTTTACTTCATGATAATTTTTTCATTTTCATCTCTTGTGCAAATAAACAGAATTGTTTGAGTTCTTTTTGCTAGTAATGCTCATGTATACTTGTTCATTATGTTGAAAAGCTTTCCTGTATATGTTAAACCCTTACACGTGATGTCCTAAATGAGAATTCTAGTCACTGTACCAAGGAAAGCATAATATCTTTTGTGTATGAAAGAAGTGTTTGTTTATCTTTTCCCTGTTTAAGAGAAAAATCATAACTTTTTTCTCTGGTTTTGATAGGAATTTTATGGACCAGCACTGAAGGAGGAGGGAGGAATCAGGATTTATTCAAGGATTCATCTGGAGCTGCAACTCATGAGGAAGGTCCATCTGCAAAGGACAAATACCATGAAGTTATACTGAAAAACCAGAACCCAAAAAGAGTCGCTAAATACAATGGGCGCAGGTCTAGGTTCCCCATATCTACAGGCTCACATAAAGCCACATCTAAGGTGGTTGTTGGTTCTATCCTTACGGCCACCAATAAACTTCTCAACGTCATCCCATTTGATAAGTCAAGTATTATCATTGTGAAGGCAGATGAAGATGCTGGATTTCAGGGTTTGATAATTAACAAGCAAATCAGATGGGACTCTCTAAGTGAGCTTGATGAAGGCTTAGAGTTCCTGAAAGAGGCTCCTCTGTCTTTTGGAGGCCCAGTTCTAAGACGTGGAATGCCCCTTGTTGCTCTAACTAGGAACATTAGTGAAAATCAGTATCTAGAAGTCCTTCCAGGCATCTACTTCCTTGACCAATTGGCCACAGTTGCTAAGATTGAAGAGGTAAAGGCCAGAAATCAATCTATAGATGACCACTGGTTTTTCTTTGGATACACGAGTTGGGGCTGGCACCAACTGTTTGATGAGATTAATGAAGGTGCTTGGACAGTAAGCAATGAAGGTAACAGTTTAGATTGGCCATTGACTTGACCATTTTGCCTGTCAGTTTACTTGGAGCAAGAAGCCAGACCTTTCACTTGTAAATATAAGATTTTGTTATTCACTTGTAACTAACGTGAGTATCAGGCAAAAACTTGCAATACCCATTGGAAATTCTTTTATCAAATTTTGATACAATTGTGTTTTTTTTTTTTTATTCCTTTGGCAGTATGGTAATGCATAGAGCGCTCATAAGTGACTATTAATCACGAAATGCCTTTAGCACAATTTACAGTAGCCATCTTTGAGGTCTTCGCACTTCAAGACCCTACACCCTAGTGCAGTTGTGTAGAGTACTAGGTTTAGAAAAGTAATAAATGTAACCAAATTATTCTATTGCTGTTGGCATCAAGGGACACCATGTATAAATAGTCCATAGCATTAAGCATGGATCAAAGTTCTATTGGTAACACAGTCTAATCAAAATTTGTTCTTCATTAAATTTTTTTATTATTTTAACATAAAAATGATAAAAAGAATTTTTACATAGATATTAACTATTATAAAAATATCAAAATTAAATTTGGATGTTATATTTATTATACTGTGATTATGTTTCTGTTGTTGATTTTTCATGTTTTATTGTAACCATTATAATTTTTTATTTTGAAAACTATAATTTATTTGATTAAATGTATGATTCTTAATTTATTGTAAATTATAAATTTTTTTATAGAAACTTTTAGAGCAACAGAAATAAGAAAAGTACAATAAATTAAATATTTCTCTGCAATGTTTTTTATATGATTTTTTTTGTTTTTATATCTTTTTATTATTATTATTATTTAAGATTTTGATTTTTATTTAATAACTAATAAAAAAATCTTTAAATTAAAATGTTTTAGTATCCTCTCAAAATTTTGATAAAATATTATAAATTTTTACTCACCTTAAAATTTTTAAAAAAATTTTATCACTTACAATTTCTTTTAATCAAACCCTTTCTCTCTGTTTTTTTCTCTTTCCTTTCTTTCTACCCAAAGCAACAAAATAAAAAAAAAAAAGAGGCAAATCTTTAGATGAAGAATTAATAACACTGCTATCAATGCATTTGTAATTCAGCCAGATTGAGTTCTAGAGAATTTAATCTTAATACACTGCCTTCAGCATTAAACCCAGTTAGTCATCTGAAGATCTTCCAATACCAACCATGCCCCAGGGAAAGGAAAAGAAAAGAAAAGAAAAATGAGGATAAAAAGGGTGAGATCAGAACTCAGTTGAACTACTGAGGAATAAATCCCACAAACAACAAACGTACTTGACAGCAAAAGAAAAAAGGATTTCTACCCAAGAAAGCATTGGTTTCTACCTAAAAGGTCAAGCATCAGCGAGGATGTAATTCGCTGATCGTAACCTCATTGACAGATTGTTGTCTTAAATCTGGATTAGAATCTGCGGATTGAGATGAATCAGAGTGTACAGCTGAATGGGTTGTCCGATTTTCATTCGACACAAAAAATGCAGGTCGGGAAGGCGCTGGAGCTGTTATAGAGTAACTACTAAGCATCATAACAATCTCGGACATTGTTGGTCTATCAGCTGCAGCTTCCTGAACACATAACAATCCGATGTGAACACACTTCATAACTTCAAACTTCGGCCACTGATCGCTGAGGACTGGATCCAATAGCTCTAGAGTTGTTCCATTGGTCCAATGTAACCAAGCCTGTAAGAAGTCAAAACCATCCCGGTTCGGATCAGTTTAACAAACAGACCATATAGGAAGAATAACAATGTCTGTCAACGCACTTACGTGACTTTGAAGGTTTATTGAACTGCGGAAAGTAGAGTTCTTTCGACCTGTTACTATTTCTAGAACCAAGATGCCAAAGCTATAGACATCAGACTTGGTTGAAAAGTGTCCATTCTTAGCATACTCCGGTGCCATGTACCCACTACATACAAACAATTCATTACTAGTTGTTATTTATACTTTTCAGGTATAAATTCGTTCCATAATTGGCAAAAATGTGGACTTACTATGTTCCAGCAATCCGATTTGTATTGCCTTGAGTCTGGCTTTCACCAAAGAGTTTTGCTAAACCGAAATCAGATATTTTGGGATTCATGTGCTCATCTAACAAAATATTGCTAGTTTTCAGATCCCGGTGAATAATCCTGAGCTGAGAATCTTCATGCAGATAAAGTAGCCCTCTTGCAATCCCAACAATAATTTTGTGTCGTCTTTCCCATTCCAGGCTGAACCTTTTGCTCTGATCTATCTCATCCAAAGTTTCAATTTCTCATTAGTAGAATATGGCAATGTCCAGTATGAAGCATGCAATACAATTCACCAGGAAAGAAATATACCACCAAAGATGATTTAAAACAGGAAGATGAAACATTTTATACCGAATAAAGTTTTGTCCAAGCTTCCATTCGGCAGGTATTCATAGACAAGAAGCTTCTCTTCTTCTTCTAAACAAAAGCCCAACAGCTTTACCAGGTTGCGATGCAGCAGTTTAGCAACCAACATTACTTCCGTTTTCAGCTCTTCTAGACCTTGCCTCGAGTTGCTTGACAGCCTTTTCACCGCGATTTCTCTTCCATCAAGCAATGTTCCCTGGAGGTGCACACAATGCTTGCTTGTTCAATGATTCAGGTTAAGAATATGACGGTAAAGCCATATAGACTACATATAGTGAAGAAAAAAGTACCTTGTAAACTGGACCGAAACCACCCTGTCCAAGTTTATATTCATCAGAGAAATTCCTTGTTGCATCCTTAAGGGTATCAAGTCCAATCACGAGAGATTCCATGTTTGTCTCATAATCGTCATGATCATCTGCATATGGACAAGACATAATCTGAGTTTGAATTTGTTGTGCATCCATACTTTTAAGGTCAGATTCTTTTCGTTGGTAACAGAATGAGGAGGAGAAAAGCTTTGAATTTTACAACCTAATACCTGGCCTTTATATGTGGGTTGAGATTTAGAATCATACAAACTAAGAGTCGATTTTGGCTTTAAGTTACAGTACGTACCAGCTGCTCTTTTCTTGGCCTTTCTCCAAAAGAAGCAACCACAGATTATAAGTATCACCAGCAACGCAACGCTTCCCAAAGATGTAACTGCAACAATAACCATGGCTTTGGAAGTGTTTTGCTTCCCTGCATAAGAGGAAATATTTGTAACATCATTAGCACTGCGATCCCAGGTATTATATTTTTTATAATTTCACATGATTAAAGTCTATCCGAACTGAAAAATTGATTAAATTAAGGAATTGGAAATAAACAAACATTTTAATCAATCCTCTATTAAGGCATGGTGATTGGATACGGATGGATGGTTCGGTCCTTGTTGAATCATGAATCTGAATCTAACACCACATATTGGAGCGGTGCTGTCACAAAAGATTTTCAATCTTTCTATGAATTTGTTCATAGAAAGAAAACCTTGCCAACATATAACTGACTGATATAAATAGGTAAAATCACCAAAACTTACCTTGAGAACTGGTTGAATTCGTTGTTGAACCAGGACTTGATTTGGGCTCAATAGGAGGAGGTGGTGGAGGCAGTAGTTGAGAAGTTGGTGGTGATGATGCCTGAAAGAAAGTATATAACTCAAATCGAAGGTTGCAACTCATTGTGAATATCCGAGCACCTTGCCTTTGATTACAGCACTGTGGTATATAACCGATAATTGCTTGGAGGCAACTCGAGCAGCTATTTTCTGCTAAATCTCTGGTACACTGTACCATACCATATATATCACTGAAATCTGAGTAACTAGTGCTACCAACAGCAAATTTTGAAGTAGTGTTTGCAGCAGTGGATGAGAGGTTTCTAAACAAATCTGCCAGCTGACGATCAAAAAGATCTGGGTCAGTTACATTCCTTGTATTATAAAAAGGGATTATCGGAGAGTTACTGGCGGTTGAAAAGAAATGCCAGTCCGAGTACCGCAATGAACAATTGTTATAGCCTATCATAGCTTCTGTCTTGTTGGGACAGAACTGGCTGATTTCTTTAGCTGCGGTATCTACACAAGCTTGGCAATCCTCTTTGGAGACATCACCTCTGCACTGAACAAGTCCATAAACCTTATCCAAGTCCTGGCCGACTGTGGTAGTATAGAAGCCATTTAAAGAAGCATTTGCAGCAAGTGAACTTAAAGTGGTGTTTACATTTTGCCCAAAGATGCTCCTGGTAGTGTCATTACCGGTGCCATCACAAAAGAAATACCTTTCTTGATCAGCTACGTAGGCATGGATGGACGAAAGAAGAGAAAAAAATAAGAGTAACGGCAAAGTAACTGTGACAATTGGTTGCATCATACATAAGTTAATAAGGACTGGTGCTGCTAAAAGGCAGCAGAGAAAGGAGAACCAGCGGTGATTTGCTGATAATAGTCTTGACACACAAGTTTTGCCTGCTTTGAATCTCTTCAAGGAAGAGGCTATTAAGTACTCGCTATATATCTAGTTCATCAGTCAAAATAGTCTTAGATGATGAATATAAGCAGATTACGCGGTACGCCTAATGTGAATGAGTTGAACTTCAATCAAGAGGAGGTGCAGGAAAGAGATCATCCTGTCTTTTTCAGCTTACGACCTTAATTCTTGAATATTTCTTGCTCTGAAAGTCTCACATAAGTCCAGCAACAAAATCCAAAGAGATGTTGCTTAGTCCAAATCTGAAGGCTCCACTCTGGATCACCCTTACTCCTTTATCATTGGCAAGACTCTAAGAACTAAGAATACTGCAATTAGATATTGCCGGAAAGAAATACTAAGCAAAGTGTAATATTTTAAGTTCATTCAAGTAAAAGAAACAATCATATATATATTTTAAAGTAAAAAAGAAGACTTATGAATCAGCAACCTGAATTTCCTAACTGAAACCAACTCATCTGGGCTACATACAGGCTTAAACAACTAACTGGCCGGCTTCCAATTTAATCGTAATGAGTAAATTTTGACAGACTCCAAATGAAAATAAACAATGATCATGGTCAACATTCTAGTACCTACCTTGACAGGATTTGAGTTTGAAGGTTGAATCTATCAACTCCTCATTCATTATGCTGTCTTACATGAACGATATTACTCTTGGCTTGATTTGAGTTTTAAGTTTATTTTTTCTACATAAAATCATGAATAAGATCGGATAAAAAGTTTCCCTTGTGTCTTATTTTTTGTAGACTGATACTTGCTTAATATCCAAGTTCAAAATCGAACTTTGATCCCAACTACTGCCATATGATGTAAAAGGGCTGAAAGGCTCACTTTATGGTATACACCAAGCATTACACTGACAAGAAAATTGTTCCCAAGACTTGCTCTGATGTAACATGCCTTATAAGAATGAATTTTCTTTTGCCAGAATATTGCGGTAGTTCTCGTACTGTCACCAAATCTGCACGGCCCTTTTTCCCAAGAATATGGCATTAAAGCAGAATGATTATATTGTAGACAATGGTTTGGGCTGAAGGCCCAGCTCCACACTGAAAATAAACATTAAGCACTAGGCTGCAGGTCCAGATTAACCATCCTTGGAAGTTTAGAGCAGGCCTTAGCCTACACAATCAGCGGGCTAACATAACTACTATGAGCTATTTTGCACGTCAAGTCCATAACTGATTGAGGAATAGTTTAAGGATGTGCTAAATCATTGTGAATCAAAAAGTCAACCCATCAAATTGAGTCAGATTTTTTTGTTTTGTGAGAACGACTTTTGAGGCATTGCGTTCAAACTTTAATTGGGAAAAATTCTCGAACTAACCAAATTACTACGTATTAAAATTTTGATATTATATATAGGATTTTTTTTTAGTTTACTCAATAATAGTTTTAAATTGTTAGTAATTTTTTGAATTTATTTGAACATGTTAAAATTTATATTTATATATGTTATTTTAAAATTTGATAAAAAAATTGTAAAAAACTTTGATCCATTCAATTGAATATATTAATTCAATTTTCTTATAAGATGGGATCGATTATTCCGATTTTCGAAATATTTGTGGAGGATGATTTGTCTTACAGTTTAGGGTTGAACAACCCAACTACTAAGCGTGGGATCCAATCGATTATTAACTGGTCGGATTGAATCCACGTATGCGTAGGGGATAATATAGAAAAATCAAGCATAACATATATATGTATATTGAAGGGTTAAGACAGCGCGGCTGGTCTTAGAAAAATAGACCTGAAAACTAGTGACGACCCACGCTTTGTCAAAGGCCAAACTAATACTCGCGTTTAGAAAACTACAAAACAAGGTTCCAGATTATTGAAACTCGAGCTCTGGACCTTGACTTTGGCCTTGGGTTTACTGGTACATATTCACATTTTACGCCTGTAATCCGAGATTTTGACTACCTTTTTTAAGTGCCCGAGCACGAGAAATTACGGGCTCGTGCTCATGGGACTTGTCTATCTCTAGTCTCAAACAGGTTTCTTTTGTAGGTAGGGTTTCTAGTTTCTACAAACAGATAGATGCCTGGAGGAACTGCTGAAATTCTAGCTTTTATTATACCAAAAGAAGTTGCAATTTCTATGTCTAACACTCCCAAACTACCAACGCCAAAAGTACAGACTGCAAAGTTCAAAAAGGGCATAAATTTTTGGAGATATCTTCCCTTTTTTTGCTTCTTGCTTTATTCTGTAATTTCTACTAGGGCAAATGGCATTGTTAATTTCAAGATGCGTACCAAAAAAGAAAAAGTATAATACTAACGAGAAGAAACAATTGAAAAAACGAATTTCCTTTGAGTAATTCACAAGTTCCTCAACATGCTACAGGATTGCCAACTCTGTGATGTTGTCTGTTTGATTCTTCTTTTAGACCACAGCTACATTTCTTCCTAGGAAACTTCCCATCCCTCTTTCCCTCAAAATCTGGAAAAGTGAAGACCATGCTTGAACTTTCAGCAGTAGATCGTGTCCAACCCACACAACGGATCCCTTCAACTTTCCGAGCATGCCATTACAGATGGAAACTGAATCTAATGCAGAATCGAAGGGGCTCTGTCCTTATGACTTGCAGATCCTGGTATTGTATTAACATTTGGGAAAACTATCTTGATATGCAAGATTAATTAGTAATGCCTTGATGATCTTTATGTCGATGGTATTGGTCGTATTAACCATAAGCATTACTTGAAGTCTGAAATCTATGGATGCATGTAAATTAGTTCATCGTCTCTGCATTCCCTTATTGCAATGTCCAAAAGTTTGCCAGATGTGGAAGGTAACACATCGCAACAATGCCTTCTCGGTGCCTGCATCTGAAGACAAGAAAAGATAGCATGAACCTCGATTGTAATTATAACTGCATTAAAAAGGGCATCATGTAAGATTAAAACTAAGTAATACCTGGTTATAATTGAGGTCTAGCTTCTTTGTGGAGACTCTGATTTCTTCAAATTTCCTTGATGAACCCATGTCAATTGTGCAATTTTCATAAGATTGCCTGTAAACACTCTTAATTCCAGCCTTACTAGAAGATACACTGTCCAAAAAGAAAGTTGTGGGTCTCTGGCAAGGAGCTGGGTGGACTTCCCTCGTGTTAAAAGTGTAGACTCCTGCTAAACCAGTTCCCTTCTTCCACTGCCTGAATGTTTCTTGCACAGGGAGAACATCTGGTAAATATATGTGTTTGCCATACACTTGAACAGCATAACCCCATGACACCGAAATCGTCCATGAAAACCAACGATCATAGCAGACTGTTCGTTGCAAAATTCTCTGAGAATCAACATTTGCAGCCTCAAGTAAATGTTCCATTGCCTTAATACCCGTCATGTTAGGGAAGATTGGGTCCATGTGATCTATGTGATGGAGGGATACCAGGGGTGTCAACGGATGGGCAGCCAACAAACCAAATGTATTACCCCGGACATCAAACTGGTTGAAATTCAACATAACCAAAAAATTTTCAGAAACACAAAATTTACTTTCATAATAATTGTCACAGCTAAATTTACCAGATGAACGTAGCTTTGCAGACATCAACAGTCAAAACTCATACTAATTATTTGCTTAAATTTAACCAATTAATACCTGATGAAAGCCAGGCTCGCGTGTCAATCCAACACCAAGCTCTGTCAAGCAAGAGTAGACCCTGGAATCACTTCCATACAGATGAGGATATCGATCTATACAGGAATCAAAAACTTTGGCCAGAACTTTAGCCAGAGGATAACTTATAGCAAAGCCTGCTCCACCAAATGCCATTCCAAAGCCGAACACCCTGTTCTGTTCATATATCTCCGAGCCCGTTCCAACGTAGTACCAAAGCCGATGGTCGTATTTGGAAAGTGTCTTTGCCAAATTCTCTGGAAAGAACACGGTGTCATCATCCCCAAAAACGTACCATCGTACATTAGAATGATTAAGGGCAACGGTCTCTAAAATTACGCGTGCCACGCGAATTGCAGATCGGAGACCTCCTCTGTAAGTGTAACGAAACCTTGAAGTGTCCTCAGAGATGCATATTGGAGGCAGAGTACTGTTATCATCCCTTGAAGTTGCATTAGGGGGCATGCTTTCAAGAAACACACATCCACGCATTTGACGAGGCTTCCACCATAGTTTCACATACTCCTTTCGTTTTGGCCATGATTTCCGGTTTGAAGCAATCCCGAAAACAATATGTTCCATAGCAGTCGGTGCATGAACATCTTGGGGGGAAGAATATACATGTGGAGGCGGCTTCGCGTTGTGGACTAAGAATACCGACGCAATAATAAAGGTGAGACAAACAGAAGATGAGATCAAAATGAAGTTTAGCAGATGAGAAGAAGATTTGGTTTTGGATAGCAACTTAAAAAGCTGCATTTTTCAATATTAACGGAAGAACAAGAGGTGACTTGAGGTACAGGAAGGATTCTGGTCCTCGGCCCTTCAAAAAAGTTGTGTTACCTTGGCATTTTAAGGCACATAGACATACATACATAGTTATCTTTTATATACCCGTCGTTTTGCAACGTAATCAACGGCGAATACATGGAACATGCACATTTTGACGCTTCAATTTAGTTATTTGGGCATACGAGGAAGGAAGCAATGAAAACATGGGTTTGGCGGCCAAATTAAAAGAAGTTCAATCCTCTCTGCAAATGAGAAATGCCCAGTTGGTGGTGGGCTCACCAGCGACCAGACCCTTCCCAAAGACTTGATCAGGTTGAAAATTGACTAATGTGGCGGAGAGTAGTTTTTTCTCAATGACCAAGGGTTGGTGGGACTTGGGACCCCGTCCATGGGTTAAGTCATGCACTGTTATTAAACTAATAATTCCAGTACTATCTTTACATGTTTAAGAAAACAAATATTTTTTTCCTAGGAAAAATTAAAAAAAGAAAAAATGACAACCACTTTACCTGTTTTCGTAAAAATCACTGATTGTTGAACTTTGAAGGAACTAACCATGTGCTAGGAGAGGCTCAAGCCACCTGGAACGGAAGGATTGGATCCAAAACCTTAGCCGTCCACATGGTGATTTTAATTCAGTAGTAATAATAAATAAGTTTGGTGAAATTAGCCTCCAATTAAATAAATAACCCGAATAAAATATTAATTATGCATACATGCTGCGCTGAGTTAGTTGAGGTTGTCCACATTGAGAATAAATACAAGTTCATGTCGGTTTCTTTCTTTTCTTTTCTTTTCTTTTTTTCTCAGTTTTCATTTCTCGTACGTTACACAAGGAACCTTAGCGAAATCAGCGTCGCACTCTATCTTAGAAGTTTGTCAAAGCAGGTGGCAATCCATTTTTAATCCCCCTTACCAGCCTACTTCTTGGCATTCAAAGACAAAATCAAGGGTGTGAAAATCATTGTACTGAAACAAAGAGGGTGCAAATTTCATTTTCACAAACGTTTCCGTTTAAAAATGGCGAATGAAATATCAAAGAGAATGAACAAAGAGCGTGACGGCAGAGTTCAGACTCCAAAGCAACGAGAGACTGCAATACATTAAGAAAATACCCTGTACAAAAATCACGAGCTGGCCCTTGATCTGCAATAATGGCTTATCGTCAGTGTGCAAATCACAAATTATATCCAATTCAACCACTTATATATCAAATCCCCAAGAACTTTTCCCGGACAATCAGATGTCACTTACATGACATTAAGAATAAAATCAACATTATTCACTTCACCAAAATTTTATTTATTTAACAAGATGATAAACAATCGGCTACATGCTAATCAGCATCGATTTTTTTTTTTTTTTTGATGATGTGTTTAGATTATTGCTGTCTATCTTTCTTCACATACCTCCAGAGGTAAGCAGTCGATTAATGAAGCCAATCAATTTAACAAAAAGCAGCCAATTCCTCAGCCAGCATTCGCCAAATCTTAGAAGGTAAGATTGTTGGAGCAGTCTCCTTTAGATCAAGGTCATTCACTATCTATCGTGATGGTCACCGAATGCTAAAACCAAAGACACAAGGCCACCTTTAGTCATGAGCTTCCTCTCCTGAAGATAAGGCATGGCAATTATTAGAAAATGCATTAGAGTTAGTCAGAAAATACCAGTTCTACAAGGCTTGGAGATCTCAACCATACAGACGACTTATAAGTCAGTTGGAATCTACAAGATTTCACTTGCTGAAACATTAGGCATTCAGGTCAATACACAAAAAGAACTCGCATGTGATGATTATAGTTAAAATGGAAAAGGGCATTTTCCACATGTACCAACACCAAAAACTAGGCCCTTAGCTAATATGTGGGAAACATTGCATGAAACTGAATTTGCAGATCAAGGAGGTTAGATTAAAGCCATTCATTTCAACAAAGACAATCTAAATTAACAAGAAATTACCTCACAGTTTACAATATAAATTAAGCAGAAGTTTGATTGAAGTTCCGCATGCTTTATGCCTGCCTTAGTTTTTCACACAACAGCAGTCATCTTGGTAGAAGTGCTATGCATTCATGGATATCAGTTCATCAATTCCACACTTTCTAATGTTGATAACCATTGATTCATTATATGAAGGCAAAATCTCACAGCATTGGCGACGAGGAGCCATTATCTGGAACAGAGGGAGATAAATTTGTAAAATAGCAATAATTTCAGAGACAAGAAAAAAAATGCACAGGAACATTGAAAATGAAATAAAATGGCTAAAAGTTTAAACTTCCAAGGGTCAACCAATCAGTTTATTAATACCTGCTCCATATCAAGCTCCAGCTTCTGCGAGACCACTTTCACCTCCTTGAGGTTCTTTATTGCATCAGCTCTGAGGCAATTTGCATCAGAATACCTGGTATAAGTGCTCCAGACAACATTTTTGTCCGACCCAACACTTTCTAGGAAAAATCCTAAGGGTCTTTTACATGAATCTCCAGGAAATTCTCTCGTATTGAACATAAAGTGAGCGCCAACATTCGCACCTCTCTTCCATGGAGAAAAGGTTTTCTGCACTGAAAGGAGATCCGGAAGGAGTTGATTGCCTTCATAAAGCTGAATAGCATAACCCCATGCAACTGAAACAGTCAATGAATTGAAACGATCATAGCAGACAGTTTGCTGCAAAATCCTGGAAGAATCAACATTCACAGCTTTAAAGAAGTGTTCCAGAGCTTGAGTCTTGCTCATATTTGGGAACACTGGCTCCATAGCATCCAAGTGATGAAGAGATACCAGAGGAGATAACGGATGTGCAGTAAGCATTCCAAAAATATTACCCCGCATGTCAACCTGGAGAAAGTACATAAATAAATACACTGAAATTTTCTTTTAAACTCAATCACCAACCTGCAAAGCATCCAAGCTGAAATCAACCATGCAGTACCCTCTTCCAGAAAACCATGGACAGAACTCAAACAGCCAAGTACAAACCAGTCAAATTTCAAAACCAGCATAACAGCATTTAAGCCTCTTGAAAAATATCTAGTTCAGATTATCTTTCCATTCTCTTGTACATGCTCATGTATAATAAATCATCCAACAGGCCCACAATGATGTATCATCATGTTCGAAAAGAAAGGGCATCCATAGCAGCTGAAGCAATAAGAAACGCCTCTGAGCAGAACTCGCCAAAAGCAAGACTCAAATCTGTTTGGCTAGCGGGGATTTTAGGAATTAAAATCCAAGAGTTTGTGGGTTTGACGCATGATTCAATCACTATCATTAAGGACTTGCTTGCTCTCTTAAAAATATTTGCTGCCAGGTTCATAGCAAAGCCACCTCTAGGATATAACAAAACCGCTAAAAACCCCCAATCAATTGATACTGAATATTTCATGGAAAACTTCACTTTGAAATATTGCATTGAACAACAAGAAATTATTAACCTATATTTGTTGTGTGATAGAACTTTTTATTAAATAAATTTGACAAGGTACAAAACACAACCTTTTTCAAGCAAACAGTTAACTACCTTATCTAACAATTCTATTGGGAACGTCTGTTCAAATAAATAATTAATCTTGAGCACATAAACTTAATATACTTTCCATTTTTACACCAATTCATATTACAATCTAACTATAAAACAGCAATTCATAGCACCCAAAACAATAACAGAAATGCTAAGATCAACATCTTAATAGAAGCTGTTTAAAGATTTTAATTACCTGATGGAAACCACGTTCATGAGTCAAACCTACGCCAAGCTCAGCCAAACAAGACCAAACCCTAGCATCGCTTCCGTACAAGTGAGCGTACCTCATCAAGCAAGAGTCCAAAACCCTAGCCAAAACCTTTCCCAAGGAGTAACTGATAGCGAACCCTCCCCCGCCAAACGCCATGTCAAAAGAGTACTTCAAATTTTGCTCGTAACTCTCAGAATTGCTCCCAACGTAAAACCACTTCTCGTGATCGTATTTTGAAAGCACTTTTACCAAATTGTCCACGATAAAAACAGTGTCGTCGTCCCCGAACACGAACCACCTGATTCCCGTTTCGTTGCGGTCAACCGCCTCTTTGACTACACGCGCCACTCGTATAGCCGAACGGAGACCACCCTTAAAGGTGTAAGGGAATGATTTGGTATCGCCGGAGACGATGACGGGAGGGAGAGTGGGGTCCGCCAAAGAGGAGACAGGTTGGTCGAGGAAGGCGACGGCGCGGGTAGCGCGTGGAGTGTACCAGAGGCGAATGTAGGAGCTTCGGCGGGGGAAGGAGTTTGAGGAGCAAGCAATGGAAAAGAGGAGGTGATAGCGGCGCGTGGGTGAAGGGGACGGGGCCGTTGTGGCGAGTGGGAGAGGGGCTTGGGGGTGGCGGAAGACGAGAAAAATGGAAACAAAAAGGGAAAATATCAACAGAAGATCTTTGATGCGTGATCGAGTTAGATTGAGAATTTTGAGCATTTTCTTAAAGTAAAAAAGGAAACGACTGGGAGTGGAGGGAGAATTGAATACGGGTTTCCTTTTACGCTTGAAGTACATTAAGGGAAGTAAACTGATTACTGAGAGATGGAAATGGGAAGAGCGAGTTGCATTGAAGCAGTTTTTTTATTGTATAACATTAAAAGACAGGGCGATATGCTTTAAGCTGAGTTTCCCCTTCTCAGTTCACGACGATCCAACTGTTTTTGTCTTTCCTCCTTCTATTGGTTCATGTCCTTTTTGTTGTCGGTTGGCAGGATTGCCTATTCATACTGGGCTTCTTTGGGCCTCAGGTTGATCAGAAACTTACAATAGTTTGGGCTTTTGAGCTTTTCTTTGTAAAAAGTTGTGTCAGTTGTTCTGTTATTCCTACAAGCCTAGATGACTTTTAACACTACAAGTGAGATCTAGGCCGAGCTCAGCTCAATAGTTCAATTCGTCGGGTCCAAGTAGATACACTGCCATGAGCCGAGCTCTGCTCGATTAAGAACTCAACCTTCTAGCTCGACTCTAGCTCAGTCAATCGTTTTTCGGCCTGATTACAACTCGAAAAATAATCCTTCTATTCGAATTCGACTGGATTAAATTCAATTATCAGTCATTTATATAAGAGATTTGAAACTTAATTTAATTAAACTCAATTATCATTAATTTATTAAAAAACTAAAAATTCAACTTGAATTCGAATATAAAATAAAATTTTCAATAAAATTATAAAATATTTAAATAAATATGGTATTTTATTTATATATGTATACAATGTTTTTAAATATTAACAAATTTAAAAATTCAAATGAAACTATGAAATATGTATAAGTAGTTTATTTAATTTATAAATATATGTAATATTAAAAAATATTTAATAAATTCAAAAACTCGATAATACTTGCAAGCCATTTGTGTCACAATTTGTAAATTCGTGACTAGTCCAGTCTGTATGGATTATTGAGTTAGTCCACATGCAGGCATCCAGCAGTTATGACCTAAGCAGCTAAGCAAGTATTCTAGGGCAACTAAAATACTTTTCAAAAATAAAATCTTCCTTGTTGATTATTCCTCATCAATGAGAATAGTTTTAAGATTTTACTTTTCTTGTACGTCAAGGAAGTTTAGGTTAGATACTTCCATATTTATTTTTACTTTGCACACCTAATTTAGTTTAAATAGACTATTATAAATAACACCCTTAGAATAAGACAATCAAATCAAATTTATCGAATTAAAAAATTTATTTTATATTTAGATCTTAAGTACTTTATTTTTCTCTTATTTGAATAATAATATTTATTTATTTTTTCCGATTTCTTTCTTCATATTTATTTACTTTAAGTTTTCACAGAAATCTTATTTAGACTTAGTTTTCCGAACACAAGACTATAATACCACACAAAACTTGATACTTAGGAACACAAGACTATAATACCACACAAAACTTGATACTTAGGTCCAATATTATAAAATTTAGACTTGGTACGTTAACCAAATAATTTGAACTTGACTCAGACAATGAACAAATCAAAATCAAATATTCATTGAACCAAACCCTGTTGACTCGAGTATTCATCAAATCAAACCCCCGAATGCTTTACAAGTGCATACAATTAATATTATAGAGTTAAAAAAAATGGAGGTGAAAACAGCTCCTAAATAGTTTTAAATTTTATATTTTTAATTCAACATCCCCTTTACTTTTAACATACAAAACCTAGATAAATTTAATAAATAAAATGCCACATAATTAAGAAGTATTAGTAATAAAATGAATATTATAATTATAAACAAGAATATAAGATGATGAAATAATAACACATAAATTTTTTCAATTGCAGATCATTTCTAGCAAAAATAACAAGTATATTGCTTGTTTTGCTTTTGTTAAAAGTTGGCCGGACATTTAAATTTTAAAATATGGTTTTTAGTCCATAAGTTTTGAATTGGAGCTCACAGTTTTTTTTTTTTGCACAGATTGCAACCTTGGTAATTTGCTCAATCAAAATTCTAGTAGTGGATTTATTTCTTGCATGCAAAATAGATGCCCGAAATGATAGCCACCCCAGCAGCGGCAATGCCAAGGGATGCCAGAATTTTGCCAGTTGAAACTGTGGGTTGCTGCGAAGGAGTTGCCATGAGATCATTCATCGAAACAGGCTGCTTCCAATGCTTCCTAATTCCTTGCAAGTGCCCCTTACCAACGACTGCCACAACTGAGCTATGCTCACTCGCAATTCTATGCAAAGTGGATGACATGTACCTGAATGCGTATGCAGGTTGAAGACAATATTAATCCCACAAGCATAACAATTATTGTTTGTGCAACAAATATCAAACAAGGCTAAGTATTTATGATGTCATCTTATACCATTTATAATGTCCCTGACTGGGTTTGTTGTGTATGGTCAAGGCACAGTGGCTCAGTTTGTAAAATTATCCAAAACAAATTAAATCATAATAAATACCATAAAATAAAGAATATAAATGTCATTTGATATCTCTATTAATGAGGATTTAGCCATTTATTTATTTATTTTAATTTAATTTTTCTAAATTTTCACCCATGTAATTTAAGAAATCTGCCCATTCCTATATTAGGTAACTTCTGTTTTCTTCCATCTATTTTTTCTTACCTTTTGTTTCTTTTCACCTATTTATCCTCTTCCACCTACATAATATTTGCTTCTTTTCACCTATTTTTCCTCTTCCACCCACATGGTGGTATGCCAAAAACTAGTAAATAGTTATAAAATTTGAAGAGAACAACGAAAACCACACACTTTAGTTTTGCAGTCAAGAGGAGGCCAATACACTAATACTAATAATCTGATATGCATTTAAAGGAGCAAAAGTATACTAACTGGTCTCGTTCATGTACAAGAGTTTCCATTAGAGTTGGGAATTCCTTGCTCATTTCTTGAATCACAAGAGTCAGCATGTCAACATCATCCATGTCCTTCAGCTGAATATACAATATATTTTAGCATCACAAAAATGGATTTTTTTTCTTCAAAACTCTAAGTGCTTTAAAATATGAAAATATAAATAAAGCATATTGACTGATGATGAAATAAGAGAATAAGAAAGAAAGTTCACCATTTTATTAAGTTCTTCAGGGCTTGGCAAGAAGACTGCTTGAAAAAGTAAGGAATACAATAATTTTGTCTTATGCCAAAGAGGCATTTTCCCCCAAGTTCTCCGCAATGTAATCTGTTTCATCCAATCAAATCTTTGAAAATACTTGCAGGTCAAGATTAAAGATAAATGAAAATAAAATGCCACTATGGTACAAACTGTTGAGAAAACAGTGGTACTGCCATGTATAGCTTCAGCAGTACTACAAGGCTTATACACATTATTAAGCAACCAACAGTAGTTATTTAAGGGTTTTATAAAAATAATTAGGATGAGAAATGCCGGCTCAATAGTTTCCCCTGTACAGTAAGTAAGTTGTACCACATAAGTTTGAGTTTTCAACAACTGTAGAGAATAATATTTATTTTTTAGGACGTAATAACAGCCAACAACCGATGACATATCTTACCTGTACAGGACGATCACCAAGAATCACCTTGCCACCATACTTCATTGCTTCTTCAAATGCCACACGAAATTCAGACCCAGGGAAAACCTCAAGCTTACTAGCAACCTATTGAAAAATGATTTAGGACACATAATGAGCAAAAACAACAATTCCCATGGTGAACTCTGAATAAAAGATTCAATAAGTAACATACCTTGGCAAGAAACCAACTATAAAGGATACCAAACATGTTATGCTTTTTCTTCCACATATCTATCATTTCTCCCATGGTTGGTACCTGGTAGATCTTAAGTTAGTATGTTTGAAGATGAAACTTTAGCAGCTGAATATTAAAGCCTATAAAGGATGAAACAACAGCCAAACAGTTATGCCATAAAAACGAAAGCTTGCTTGTCATAACTGTGTTATGGAAAGATAATTGGAGAATACACAGGAAGATAAAAAGAATGCAGCAAGATGGAAAACAGGGTAGAAAAAATTAGTTCTTCAGCTTTGAATACCCTGATGCGTCATGTGAATCCTTTCCTCAATGCAAGGAAATTATTAAAAAAAAGGAACAACATCTGAGTACAAACCTTTAAATTCTGGGGAGTAAGCACAGCAACTCGACTTGAGCATAACTCCAAGAAAACAACCTGTAGAACAACAATTGAAAAATGCGTATGCGCTTCAAAATTCAAGTGAATTGCTGAGGTGAAAATGCAAGTCCTAAAACAGTATAAAAGCAGGCAGCTAACCTGCTAAATGATCCATCCATGATACAAGTGTTAGTTAGTTTCAGAAGAGAAGCACCTGTGGTTTCAAAAAACTGATTACAGCTTCAACTTCTCTGCATGATTCCTGTAAAGCCACAATAACTACATATTAATATCCCTCGTCAAGACTCCATGCCCATCTAAGAAATTACAGATAATTCTCAGTTAATTTAGATATTTTCATTTTTAAAATCCTAAATTTTAAATTCTAGCAGTTTCCAACATTTTCTCGTTAACCAAAAAGAAACCAGAACCGGCACGTGCCTGAGAGACATGCGCAGTCCCAACCAAGTACACATCGCAATTGCCGCCCTCGGCGGAGGACTGGCATGTGAGAACCATCACGCTCCTCGAAAGCTCCTCAGGGAGCTCCACCTTCCTTCTGTCCGAAGAATCAGATCTTTGGCTCCTCGAAACGGCGTCGCTGTTAGTGCAATCGTAATCCTCGTTTTGCATCTCTTCTTCTTCTTCCTCTTCTTCTTCAACTTTCACGATGCTTTCGCTTAATACGTCCGTGACATTAGGGTTAGGGTTTTCGATGTGGACGAAGTCCTCGCCGGACGGGGGATCTGATTCCGTCGGTTTCGGCTCCAATGCCGGCGGTTTCAGTTTGTTATTGGGACGGTTAGCGGTGGTGCCAGAAGTGGTAAATTCTAGGGGTTTGAGGGGCGTGAATTGTTTGAGATGGTGAAGAGGCAAGATTGTTTGGGAAAAACGGGGAGTAAAAGAGGCTTTGAGTACGATAGAGCGGAGTACCTCGGGCGAGCTGACTGGGGTGAGTGGGCGAGTCAAGTGCCTCATATAAGCAGTTCCGGTTATGGGATTTTGTGTGAGAGAGGGAACATATTTTGGCCATTTGGGGCATATATAGAAGGGTAGGATACGACACAATTACTGCAAACGGTTTCAAGTTCTTATTCAGTTTCATTTTTTTTTCTATTTTGCAAACAATTAATAGATTTTCGATTTCCTTTTGAGGCAAAAATCAGTCTTTTAGATGAGAAAAAAATTATATACTGTTTGAAAAATCTCTAAATTATTTAAAAATATAAATAAGTTTTTATATTTTTTTTATTTTTAATTAAGTTAATGTATTTTTATTTTGAATTAAATATGTTTTTGTAATTAATAGTTAACTAATTAACATATTAGTCAAAATGTCACTTTTTATTTTTATTCACGTGATATTAATGTGGAGTGGAAAAAATGTCATATGTTCATTTTATTTTGTAACATCAACATGCTATATCAATATCATATGAAATAAAAAAACAAAAGACATACCAACTAATAGGACGAAACTAGCCAACTTTTATTTGAGAGATCAAAAACGAAAAGGAATAAAGGTTAAAAATGTTTAAAATTAATATGTTAAACTTAACCAATAATTAAAAAATTTATAATAAATAATAAATTTACATAACATGTAAATAAAAAAAACTAAAAAGGAAAAATTTATAATAATCTTTTAAGAAAGTTGTGATCGACAATATTTCTTACTCTTGTTCATACGTTAAAGCATTGAGGCTTACTGGCTCGAGTGTAGGAGAATCATTTAAATAATTACATATTTTCTTTTAAATAATGTGTCAATTATTTTTAACTTACTCATATTTTAATCAAGCTTAAAAAAATTAATATAATCAATATCTAATATTCTTGTTTTATTTTTATTTAACTTAAAATATTAAATATAAAATTATAATACAAAAAATATAAATAGTTAAATATGGTATATATGGTTAATAATTTTCTCTTATATAATCAAGATTGTTTAAAGATTAAATACTTAGTATAATTTTCTCTTATATATTTAAAATAATTTTCTTTCAAATAAATATAAAATGTAACGTATATAAAATAGATATATTCAAGATAATTTCCACTTATATAATTAACATTAATAAAAAATAGTACATTAATGAAATTTTAAGCAACAACCAATAGTGTAACATTATAACTTATATTTGAGAATTACATAATAAGTATTTAACATTTAAAGACTAAAATTATTAAAAATAAAATCTACATAACAGCAAAAAGAAAAATATAGCAAGTATAAGATAGAACGCACATAAAAAAAAGAAAAAAAGAAAAATATGGTTGATGGTTCATAGAAATTTAAAAAAGAAAATCTATAAAACCTTAAAACATACGAACACATAAAATAAAAATGAACAAATAAACAAATATAAATAGAAAGAAGAATGTAAAACAAACTTTATCTCATCTTAATTTTTCGAATGATTAGGTGTATTTCAGTAATAATAAAAAGACAAAAGAGAAGAGAAAGAGAAAGAGAGAGAGAGAGAGAGAGAGAAAAAGGCATGGAGAAACTTAAATTAAGGTAAAATTAAGTAAAGTTTGTAAGATCATTTTATTATTTTTTTATTTATATTAATTATTAAATAAAAATTATTTTGAAAAGGGCCATTAAAAGAAAAAGATATATAATATATAACAAATTTAAAATTTTTTGAGAGGGCTGTTAAAATATATATACAATGAATAAAAATTTTCAAAAATTTTGGAGGGCTAATAATTGA